ACCCACAGCAGCGAAAGTGCACGAGGTGAGGCGGAATGCAGAGAATGAAATGAATCCGTTTTTTAGTCGGCTCAAAAATATCACTCACAAATGGTCCTTGAGATAATGTGCCCCAAAGCCCACGATAGCGAAAGAGCGCGAGGCGAGGCGGTAGGCGGAGAATTGGATGAAGCCGTGGGGGCCGCGGGCGAGCGGGTGGAAGGGAATGGAGGGCAGGCCCACGTGCTGCTGCAGCGGCTGTAGCTGCTGCAGGTAGATGCGATACCCCTGCCAGGATAGGTTGAAAGGGACTGGGGAGGGGACGCAGAGAGAAGGGAATGGAGAGCCGGCACAGAGAGGGTAACCACCAACAAAGTCTAATCCCTTGAGTTGAGGCGCCTCAGTAATCCCTGCTCGGTTGCACACCTCACCTCCAATGTCCTGCACGGGCATTGCACTTGTGTCACTGTAGTAGCGGGCACGAACGCGAGAGAGAGGGTGACCACCACCGTGATCTATCCAATCACGACTGGAGAATCTTCCAATCTAGTCATTCCTCCTACTTTCTCCTACCTCCTCCTCACCTCCATAGTCCTGCACGGGCATAGCACTGCCAGGAGAAGCAGGCACGAGCGCAAGCGAGAGGGAAACCGCCAGCAAAATCGCTGCCCCGGAAATTGCCACTGCAAGGGCTGCAGTTGTCCAGAAGCGTTCCTTCATCGGGGCCAGCAGCGCCTGTGCGTTCCTGGGAAGGCCATAAGCGGGAGTTCAGGTAGAGAGCGCGGAGGAAACAGTTGCGAGAGTGTGGAAAACGAAACAAGACGAGAACGTTTGCGTTCCTGCGAGTTGTCATGGCGTCAGGCAAATGGGAGGATGGATGAACTGTCCTTGTGACTGTCCTTGCATGATGCACTATGCTCTGAGTCAAACCACATATCACAAGTACCCCAACCCACCGTTCCTGATCAAATTTCTTATGTTGCCGACAAGTCTTACCATGCCTTATCTCGGGTACCACGCCCTACCTTGGTAGCAGTCCCTGTACGGATCAAAGCATCCCCTCAAAGTCTCAGCTGCTGGATGTACAGCTGTGTTTACGCCACTCTTTTGAAGAAGCTAAAGAATGAGCCCTTACCTTGGTAGCAGGCCCTGTAGAGATCGAAGCATCCCCCCAGCGTCTGGTTTTGAGGTGCCTCAAATAGACCCCCCAGCGTCCCAGAGGCGCTGGATAGCTCCCTTGCACCGACTTTATTTGGGCATTTTAAGGTCTATACCAACGCGTCACCACCGTACCTGGTAGCAGGCCCTGTATGTATTGAAGCATCCCTTCAGAGCCCCAGCTGCTGGATGGATAGCTGTGTTTACGGCGCTTCTATCGAAGCGACTAAAGAATAAGCCTTACCTTGGTAGCAGGGCCTGTAGATATCGAAGCATCCCTTCAGAGCCCCAGCTGCTGGATGGATAGCTGTGTTTACGGCGCTTCTATCGAAGCGACTAAAGAATAAGCCTTACCTTGGTAGCAGGGCCTGTAGATATCGAAGCATCCCTTCAGAGCCCCAGCTGCTGGATGGATAGCTGTGTTTACGGCGCTTCTATCGAAGCGACTAAAGAATAAGCCTTACCTTGGTAGCAGGGCCTGTAGATATCGAAGCATCCCTTCAGAGCCCCAGCTGCTGGATGGATAGCTGTGTTTACGGCGCTTCTATCGAAGCGACTAAAGAATAAGCCTTACCTTGGTAGCAGGGCCTGTAGATATCGATGCATCCCTTCAGAGCCCCAGCCACTGGGTTGCCCCCTTGCGCCGCTTCCACCGCCTCTTGCTGATTCCCGATTCCCCACCATGGATGGAACACCTTTGCTGACTGACGGAGCGCCCTGGCTGACTGAAAAGGTCCCTCCGTTAAGCGAACGATCGTCTCTGTTGTCGCTGGGTCTGATAAGCGGGTGAGCTGAGTCATCCCTGTCCGACTGGCGGTCGCTTGCGCTCTCCGTTCGCCCAACTTCAGGATCGTCGCCGCTTGCACGTGAGAGTTCGAGGATTGCTTCGCTATTGTCACTTCTGGGGTGTGACAGAAGCGCGCGACGATCCTCCGCGAGAGTGACCACCGCTGATTGTGGAGCTCGTGAGCTTTCCGCAGCGCGTTGTAAGGCAATGGCGGCATTTCCCTGGATGCCCTGAACTCCTGTCGGGGACTCCGGCGGAGTAACGAACCGTTGCGCTTCCGTGAAGCCGGCTGGGCCATGCTCAGTAGCCTCCGCATTTCCCGGCGACCTTGCCGCTGATAAATCATCAGGAGGTGATCGGCTGGTCGCTTCTGAAGACTCGACAGTTCTGCGAGGTAAGGAATCTGAACTCATGGTTTCGACGAAGGGCCTTGTTCAATGGACTATGGCCCGATTTGTGTACGTGAAATAGCAGACACTAGTATTTGGTTAGCATAGAACTGTCAGCTTCCGCCGCCGGTCCAGGGAAAGATGCGGGTACGACTACAAATGGAGTTGGAAGGTACCACTAGGAGCGACTGGAGGTTCAAAAAGGGCAGAGGATGTCTAGCACCATGTAGCGAAAGAAGGAATCATTTCGCAAGGACTGAACTGAGGCGGTTAGTCTGGGTCCTAAAAAAAAAGTGGGACTGGCTGGCAATCCCAGAAATATGTGATGCTGGCTCACCAGGATTTTGGACCACAAAGCTGATGTTCAGTTGCTTTGCTGGGTGTTGCTGTAGTTATGCGGATGTGCTTGAGAAGTACAGTTCATGGATATGTATAATGCCATAGCCCAATGTCCTACGCCTGATTCATATCGATCAAGTTGTCTCTGAGAATTGCATCCTTGCACCTATTGTGATCATTCAAAATTTCATTAAATGTTTTATACAAATGTCTCTAGAACATATTATCCCTATATTTGTGTATCTAGTACTTTAAATTTCTAATATTGTATACGAACACATATTTCAATATCTAATAAATAATATACCTATTTTATGAAATTTTGAAATTAATTTATCCGAAATATCACGGGCTTAGCTGACACACTCTAAATACTAGGCACATAATGGGAAATATATAAGCCCCACCGACTAGGTCAATGAGGATGAGGACCCAGTAGGTACAGTGTCAACGACCACTCGATACCCGTCAAAGAGTTGCACTTTCCAGATTCGAGCCGCCAGCACACACTTGACCCCAGTTCCCGCCAGCACGAATTTCACCGCACCGCAACGGACTCTCGAATTCGACATTCGCCTAGCCAGAACCGTAATAAACCACTCGCAGCCGCAACCCAGACCTTCCCTGACCGCAACACGGCAAATTCCAAGGTTGGACGCTACGGCGCGACACGGCTTGTTCTTGTCCCTCCTCCTGACCCAAATCCCGACGCACGCCGCTTCCGCTGGTTACTTCTTGCCGCTTTTCGGCGGATTACGCGCTAATGGGTCCTCTCTGCTGCTGACGGTGGCGGCTGGGTGACCCGACCCCACAAACAGCATGCTCTAGATCTGTCTTCTGAAGTCCCATTTGAAAAGCAGAACCATTCCTAATTGATACTTTATTCATAAGTTAGTTTTCCGATTCCACGTTGATCCAGGATTCAAGATCGTCACTCCAGAGCTTCCAGTCATAACTTGTGGTTTCTTCCCGTCTTGGAGTGCTAAGGCTATTCCAGTTTAAGCTCCTTACGATGGCTAGGCGGTCCACGTTTGCTGTTGTATCCTTAGTCTTGGCTCTGTGCTTGGTGGCTTTGGCCTCTGCTGCCGGCACACCGGCAACAACGGCGCCTACGCCGAAAACAACGACGCCTGCACCGAAAACAGCGACTCCTGCCGGCAAAACACAGCCGAAGAGGCCAAAAAAGCCGACGCGAGCTAAGATCAACCAGGGCGTCTTCAACACGTGGGATAGCGGCTACATCGCGACGATCTCTCCCTCCGAAGGCGGTCTTGCTCAAGGCGCGTGCGGATACGGCAACACGGTTAACACTGGTATCGGATCTGCTACTAGCGCGGTGTCATCTATTCTGTACGAGGACGGCCAGACCTGCGGCGCGTGCGTGGCGATCAAGTGCGTGAAGAACAAGAGATGCAACGGGAATGCCGCCACCGTTACAGTCACCAACCACTGCAAGGGCAACAAAACTCACGGCGGCCTGTGCCAGCTTCCTAAGAAATCGATCATGCTGCCGCCCAGCGTCTACGACCAGATCGTCACCACGCGAAACGCTGGCGACGTCGCCGTGCGAGTTTCGCGCGTGCCCTGCCCTCGCAAAGGTGGGATGCAGATCAAGGTGCTTATGGGAAACGACTGGTTCATCAACCTTCTCCCTCTGAACGTCGCGGGACCAGGAACTATTTCCAAGATCGAAGCGCAACTGGCCGGTAGCAACGGATTCAAGCCGCTTGTCAGGAACTTTGGGACCACGTGGTCGCTGAACGGTGTCAAGGTTGGCGGGCAAGCGATGACGCTGCGCGTGACGACGAACTTCAATGGGAAGGTTGTTGTTCTGAAGAACGTGATTCCGGCTTCGTGGCAGGTCAACCAGACGTACACCGGAGACGCGAACTTCCCTGATAGCTAAGTCATCATGACACCTAGTGATTCTTAGTAGTACTTGGCGCTAAGATTGAAGTAGTGAAAAAAATGTAGCTCGGTCGGCTTAGGATCTTGCTAATCAGGCTTGCCGCTTTGTCCGGCAAGTCAGTACGTCATTCATTGTCAATATTCAGGTACCTCTGGCATTTGTAGGGCAATCAATAAAGCTTTTGCTAGTAGACTAAAACCACCAGATTCATTTCAGTCCACAGCAAGCGTTTATCACTACATGCTTACAATGGCATTTCTGAACAATTTACCGCACCCTCTCTTTTTTAGCTACAGAAAGTATGTTCTCTTTCCTACATTGGTCTGCTGTCAATCATATGATACAGCTACCGTACATAGGATAATGAACAGACAAAATAATACCGAGCAGTGTACAAGACCAAGTATGTCATTACACCAAGAATAGTGCAAACAACTGTCTATAGCTTAGACATGCGGGAAGATCGAGGAATGAGGCCGACCCGAAGCCCAGGGTAGTCGATCACTAAGTCAAACTTGGAAAGTAAGTTACGGCATATCAAACCGCTAGTGTACTGCGACAACTCCAAGGCTCCTTGTTCTGCTGTGGAGAACAGCGCTGACACATTCTTGAGCTGCTGGCCTGCTACTGTCACCACTGCCAGGTTGCCCTGCCGCACCTGCATGTTGGGGGGAGGGGGGGAGAGGTTGGGAGATGGAAGGGGGACAGTCTAAGGAGGAAAGCGCCGACACGTTCTTGAGCTGCAGCAGTCGGGAAAGGGAGAGGCAGAGAAGGGGGGGGTGAGAGAAGCGGGAAAAAGGAGGGCGGGTCCGGTTTAGGGTTTAGGTTCAAGGTTTAGGGCCATCCCTAGCTGACAGTGCTCCACTGCCCGAGCGTTGAATACTATGCTTTTGAGTCGACTCAAAAACTGCCTGAGCGTTGAATATTATGTCCACCCCTGCTGCTCCCATGCTTTAAGGGTATGGCTACACACACTCTCCCACACGCTGACACACTCAGGGCACTTACCGTCATCTGCTGTCCCCCTCCCCCTCCCCCTGCGCCCCATGCCCTTGAGCCAGCTGTCGCCCCCTTTGGCCCTCCTCCCTAGCTGACACCGCTCCACTGCCCGCGCGTTGAAAATCATGTCTACCCCTGCTGCTCCCATGCGTTATGGGTATGGCTACACACACTCACCGTCATTTGCTGTCCTCCACCTCCCCCTCCACCTGCGCCCCCCATGCCTTTAAGCCAGCTGTCCCCCCCTTTGGCCCTCCTCCCCAGCTGACACCGCTCCACTGCCCGCGCGTTGAATATTATGTCCACCCCGGCTGCTCCGGTGTCGAGAAGGAAGAGGCCGGAGTGGGGGGCCGAGTCCCAGTGCTCTTGAAAGGAGATTGCGATGTGAGGCACGCTGCCTAGCATTCGCAGAGGCTGATGGGGGTGAGAGGGCAGGTTGTGGGGGGCATGCGAGGGGGAGACGCAGGGCAAGAGAGGGGAGACAGGTGGGCAGGAGTTGGAATAAGATGGCAAAAGAGAGAGCGTTGAATATGATGTCTACCCCTGCTGCTCCCGTGTCAAGGAGAAGAGGCCACCAGTAGCCACCTCCCCACCAGTAGCCACCTCCCCACCAGTAGCCCCACCTACCTCCCAGTAGATCTTATCTCCAAGATCAGGCACAGAGGGGTGGCCTCCAACCAGAGCAGCAGTCACCACTGCCACCCCTCCCCCGGCCCTGCCTGCTGCCCCTCCTCCCCCTCTCGCCCCTCCTCTGCCCCGTCTTTGTGCCATGGCAACGCCAGGAGGCACAGGAGCAGTTGCTGCTGACCCATCCAAGAGGGAATTAGCGGATTTCATCGCCCCTGTTTCGCCTCTGTCCACTTCCCCTGTGCCATCCTCTGCGCTGCCTGCTAATGTGCTGCCTGCTTCCGAGTAAGAATGTGATTCTTGGGGTTTGTATAGCCGGAGAGTTCCCTTCCTCCCACGTGCCTATCCAGATGTGGCAGATGGGGGGGATGGAGTGCGGTACAAGGGGTTACGGAGGGATAAAAAGGAAGACGGAAGTGGAAAAGCCTTAACATGCCTTTTCTGCAACATGGTATCCTCATTGCTGTTGACGTGTGCCTCACCAAAACATGTCCCCTGCCTTACATATACATATACATATACATATACATATACATATACATATACATATACATATACATATATTTTTACATGTACATATACATATACATATACATATACATATACATGTACATGTACATATACATATACATGTACATGTACATGTACATGTACATGTACATATACATTATATATATATATATTTTGGCATATATAGCTTGTCTCACCTGCACGTGCACAACTGCGTCTCGGAACACGTCATAGCCGCAAATCCCTACCACCGGCTTCACTCCCTGCACCAGCGCTGCTCCTCCCACCTGTGAGAGTGTGAGAGAATGTGTGTGGTTGTGAGTGTGTGAGGATGTGACAGTGTGTGAAACCACAAATGAATCATGACAGCAAGCGAGTCGTTGAGGTTAGACTTCGAAAGAGGCAACAGCAGATCCCAAGGATCAAGATTCATAATGGGAGTAGCAACATTATGAGAACTTGTGAGAAAACGCGTGAACTGAGACGACTTTTGAGGCGCCTCAAAAGGCAACAGCAGATCCCTCGCAGGGTGGGGAGTGGGGAAGGATCTGCTGGTTGCAACATGACCTCTGCTGGTTGCAACATGACCTCTGCTGGTTGCAACATGACCTCTGCTGGTTGCAACATGACCTCTGCTGGTTGCAACATGACCTCTACCAGCAGATCCCTCGCAGTTGTGCACCCTGCAACACGGTTATTATTCAACATTCTAGAAAACACACTGAAAGATGTAACATGACCTTTGAGAATTCTCAAAAGTCTGACCCCACCCTGCAGATCCCTCCCCACCCCCCACCACTAGCTTCACTCAGGAAAACGGGACATGACTGGTTTTCACATCTCTGTGTGGGGGTGGGGGTGCGATGCCTTATGATAAAAGTGTAGTTTTGAGACGTCTCAAAACTTCACTCAGGAAAACGGGACATGACTGGTTTTCACATCTCTGTGTGGGGGTGGGGGTGCGATGCCGGACCGGACCGGACATCTCTGTGCGATGCGTCACTCACATCAACACAAAGCGTGTTGGCGAATGAAAGCGGTCCCAGCTGAACCGCCCATCAGAAAGTGGTCTCAATCGAACAGAGTCTGCCCGTCTGAATGCACATCATTCTCCGTGGACAGAGTCTGCTGGCCCATCGACAGTCACCGTGTGCACACACCCACCCATTCCTACAAATCAATGAATAGAGCCCATATGCGTATGAGCTGGTTGTCTCACTCGCATCAACGAATAGAGCATCGGCGAATGAAAGCGGTCCCAGTTACGCCTCCATTCGCCGATGCTCTATTCGTTGATGCGAGTGAGACAACCAGCTCTATTTGAGCGGCGGTCCCAGTTGCACGAAAAAAGTCCGCTCATCTGAATGTGCACTCTCCCCATGTGCTCTGGTTGTATCACTCACATCAACGAATAGAGCGTTGCTGATGGACAGAGGCCCTAGCTGAACCGAGTCCGCTCGTCTGAATGCACACTCTGCCGGTCCATGCACTGTCACTGTGTGCACACACCCGAAGCTGGACAGGCCTAGCCCGTCTGCTACAGCCGGCTCGATGGTGAAACAGCTGGCGCCTGAATCCAGAATGAAGTAGCTGGAGGTAGGGTAGTGTGTGTGTGGTAAGGGGAAGGAAGAGAGATGTGATGTGACAGAGAGGGGTGGTGAATGGTGGGCAGCGCACTGTCACGACTCACGGTGTGCACACATCCAGAAAAAGGACAGTCCTACTTTTGAGGCGCCTCAAAAGTCGTCTCTGTTCTTGCGGATTTTCTGTGGAGAGAATTACAACTGCTTGGAAGTGTTATCGTAACTTTCAAAAGTCACTTTTGAGACGCCTCAAAAGTGGTGGGCAGGGCACTGTCACGGTGGGCAGGGCACTGTCACGGTGTGCACACATCCAGAAAAGGACAGTCCTAAGCTAAGCGGTTAGCCGCTGCTGGTTCGATGATGAAGCAGGTTGCACCTGAATCCTGGATGAAGTAGCTGGTTGGTGGGGTGGGTGGTGATTTTTGAGTCGACTCAAAAATCGCCTCATCACACGTGGTTGGTGGGGTGGGTGGTGTGGTGCGAAAGGGAGGAAGACGTGAGAGGGGGTTGTGAAACGCACACCCCGACCGATCACTCACCCCACGTCCTGGCCGTTGATTCGTGGCCGCACCAGCAGATGCCCGCTGTTGGACTGAAACAGCTCAACCTCTTCCGGTGCGCTCTCGTCAAAGGAAGCTTCTGGGAAGCAGCTCAGCGGGCTGGGGACTGTGTGGGACCCCGGCATGTCGTATGAGAATGAGAAGGGCGAAGGTTCCTCAGAAGCTTCCTTGGATTCAGAGTCGGAAGGTTCCCTCTCATGTAGCAGGATATGGGCAGGGCCGGGAGGCAGTAAGGAGGTTCGGGCAGATGTAAATGATTGTTGCGCGCCTGCTGATGTTGACCTGTGCACTGTAGCGGGCAGCAGGAACGGGCAGTCCGGCTGGGGAAAGTGGAGGAAGGAAAGGGGAGGGAGGAAAGGGAAGAGAGGGTAGGAAGGAGGAACAGGAAAGACGAAACAGGTAAGTGGGAGTGACACGGCCATATGAGCTGCAGATGGCACCCCGTCTTAGTGCACAGGCGCCCATATGAGCCAATTGAAGCTATTGTAAGTGATTGTCATACCGCTACAGGCGCCCATTGAGTGAAAGTGAATGTCCCGAGAGCCCCATACACCTTCACCCCTTAATTATAGCCTGTGACGCTCAGCACTGTGCCACGCAGCTAGCTACGGCTGTACTGATGCTACCTCTGCATCCTTACTGCTCCTACATCCATACCGCTACAGGCGCCCATTGCGTGAAGGTGAAGGTCTCAAGGGCCCCGTAGGCCTTCACGGCTGCCACCCACTGCTACAGCCGTGTTTCTAGCTATTCATACCTACAGCTACAACAACCATACCATACCACCACAACTGTACCGCTACAGGCGCCCATTGAGTGAAGGTGAAGGTCTCAAGTGCCCCGTACGCCTTCACCACTGCCACCCGCGGCAGCCAATCAGAGCGATGCACAGCCACATACATGATGACCTGCAGGGGAGTAGGACGAAGGCGATGATGCATGACCGTGGATGATGGCTTGGAATTGGGGCAAAGGAAAAAAAAGTGACTAAAGACCCACATGTGGGGAGGGGGACGGAGTTGGGAAGGGGAATGGAAATACACGGCGCCTCAGAAAGCAACCATGACCAGAACACACCTCTCGGCCAATCAGGTTGATCGCCAAGATGACCCTATCATCAGCTGCCACGTGTGCATCAATCTCCATCCTCATGCCATTCGGAATCCCAACAACCAATCCTCCTTCCCCTATCTCCTCTTCGCCGCCCACTGCTCTTATATCTAGTGCTGAGCTGGCGACGGGCGGCAGCAGCCAAAGAGACGAGCGCAGCCACACAGAGAGCAGGTACACCTCGTGGTCGTCCAGATCCAACGAAGATACCCGCCCGGCCGTATCCACGTCCCACACGGTAGATTGGATTTCCGGGCGGCAAACTGAATCTTCGAGCGCATCATTCGATAAGCTATCAGACGAGCTATCTGATAAGCTATCAGATATGATATCGGATGAGCTAGTCGATGCAACACTGGATTCGGTATCAGATTCGCTGGTGTCTGATTGGCCAGCGAATCCTGACACACTCCAGATGTGCCGCCCGACAAACGACTCCACGAATCGGCCGCCAGCTAGCGACACGAGGAGCTGCCACGTGCCCTCCATGCCCATCAGCGACTGCACACCTGGCGGCACGGGATTGGCCAGTTGGAGCAGTGGGGGGGTGTGGAGGAGAGAGAGATATGAGTGAAGAGAGAGCAGAGATGGGAACTCCAGTCATAACGGGACATGTCAACTGCGGCTTGAAGATGCCACGCTTACCTGTCACATGCACGTGTGCGCCCTCAGCCAGGCACTCTATCCGCACAGCCCTCCTCATTCGCTCCAATACCCCCTCCAATTCCACGCTCTCTCTCCCTTCTTCAACCTCTCCTCCTCTACTCTCTCTCTCTCAACCGCACCCCTCACCCCTGCTGCTGCTGCTGCTGCTGCTCCGCCCTTCCCCTGCTCCATCTCCCCCTGCTGCTGCTGAGTCAGCACGTCTTGTTCCACGATTGGCTCGCCCAAATTTGATACGTCACTATACAGATTCGATCCGTCTCCTGCCAACGAGACAGCAGTTGCTGCTGCCACTGTGCTTCCCCTCGCCTTCACCCAGCCTGCTGGTTCCCTTTCTGAACCTGCATGGCCCCATGCCGAGCCTACTGCCGAACCTGCCTCTCCCATACCTAACCCCCAACCTCCGCCAATGGACGCGGTCACAACAGCCGACATTCTTTTTCTTCTGCCCGGAGATGCTAATGGGCGGCTGCCCGCGCGGAGAACGACGACCGCGCGCGGACGGGCGGCGGAAGCGGCGGAGTTTCGACCGCGCGCGGAGGAATTCCGCGTGGGGAAGCGGGCGCAACAGGAGAGAAGGAGAAAGCTCGGGCTTCCGCCATTCCCGCCGAAGCTGCGGTTGGTAAATTCTGATTTGCGCCGAGCTGCTGACGATGCGCTAACGTGGCATGAACTAATTGGCTGCTGCAGTGCCCACTGGGCCCGGACCGCGAGGTCCATCGGAACCGAAGCTTCGAGGAACGAACGCGATGGGCGGAGGTGAGGCGCGGAATGGAGGACGGCGAAGCGGAGGGTGCGCGGATTGCACGCGGAAAGCGCGCGGGGAGCGCGCCGAGGTTACAGGCAGTGGCGGACTGTGCAGAGACGGTGATGGCTGGTCGGATTTGAGCTAGGAGATTTCTCGGTCCTCCAACTCTCATTGGGGGGGGGAGGGGGGGGGGCTTGGATTGTTCACTTGTCTGCGGAAAAAGGGCTCAGGGAGAAAAGGGGGCATGGAGCGGGGACTGGCAGGAGCGGAGAATTTGAGGCAAGGAGGTGTGGGATGGGAAAGTTGGGAATCTCGCGGAACGTGCTCCTCGCGCGAAAAGTTTGAGGCGGTGTCGCGAAACGATGGTTGGTATTTGCGAAAGATGGCAAACATTGGGGCGATTCGCCCTGCTACATTTTTTACCGCGGTAATACTGACGATGTAGAAAACGTTTCGCCGAACGCCCTCGAATCCCTCAACCCTCAATCTCAACCCTCGATCTCGCCCGCATCACTTCCCCACAAATTAGCGCCTACATAACACACCAAACAATTTCTTTACGATACCATGTCGTAGCATTCTCTTCTGTTCTTTATTCTCTTCTCTTCCTTTCTTCATTCTTTCATTCTCAGGCATGCATTTGTACCCATTTTGCGAGTTTGGGCAGTAATATTCCATTCTATTGACCGCGATAGTCGCCCTCGCTGACAAATTACTCCGCCCTACGTCCTCACGTTACAGCTGAACATGGAATCGCTTCTAACCGAAGTCGAATCGCTCGCGCCTCGCTTCGCTAGCGGAGACGTAGCCTCGTTGGATTCTCTCGCCGAAGCGCTTGCGAATCTCCTTGCCAGATCGCGCGAGCGCGATTGGCTCACAGAAGAAAGCGAATCTCTCACGGGCAGCTCTTCGGGCAGAAGTAACGGCAGCACTGGAGCTGTGGGCAGCAGAATTGCAATCACCCGATTGGTCGCCGTCGTGCCCGAGCTCTCCAGACACTGCCCAGAGCTTCACGGAATCTTCCATCCCGCAGATGTCGCCGATGCTGGCGTAGCACAGCCGTCCGATCCTGCAAACGGCGCCCCATTCGGCGCCGCAAATGATGGGCCCCATGGGTTATCTACCGAACCTCCCAGCAGTAGCGTATGGGCGGTGCACGCGCTTCGGCCGCTTCTGCAGGCGCTGCGGGTGGTTCGGAACCTGCTGGCAGGCTCGGCAGCCAATCAGGACGCGTTCCTGAGGTGCGGCGCGGTGGACCTAGTGGCGACTATCGCGGATAGATTAATTTTGAGCCGCGACATGTATGCGGCTCCGGAATTACGCGCAACTAAGGCGCATATTAGAGGGGATGGTAGGAGTCGGGAGGATGGGGGAGATTCTCAGGGAAAGGGGATAATGGGAGGAAGTGTGGGGGGAGAGGCAAAAGCGGGGGGTAATGTGAGTAAGAGTGATGTGACTAAATTGAAAGAGATGGGGAGTGTATCCTCGTTATCAGACGCTCTGGCTTCGTTAATAGCTGAAGTGGGAGGTTCAGCGGGTAGACTTGGAGAAACGGAGAACAAGGCGACATCACCAGAAGCAGCTGCTGCGACGTCAGCAACAGCAGCTGCTGCCACGTCAGCAGCAACAGACATGTCAGGAGCATCTCCGGCAACAGCTCCTAAAGTAGCGGCAGCAGCAGTGGCAGAAGCAGCAGAAGGCAAACAACCCTCAGCAGACGGCCAACTGAACTCAGTCCATCCAGGCATACCTCCCTCTCTCTCTACCTCCCCACCCCTCCCCTTGCCTCCCCACATCGGCCCTTCCCCCTTCCCCCACCCCACTTCTCTATCCACCTTCACCCCCACTGCTGCCCCTTCTGGCCCCCGTTTCCCCCACTCCGTCCCTCTCCCTGTGAACCATCTAGACACACTCAAAACCGTCCTGCAGCTTCTGGGAAACTTCTGCGGTGGCGGCAGAAAGCAGCAGCAGGCAGTGTGGGACAGGTGCTTTCCAGGAACCTTCTCCCGGATTGCAGCAGCAGGCGGGGCGGCAGGGCGGGCGGCAGGGGTGCGGTCGGCACTGTGCATGGTACTGTTCACGTGCGTGCGGACCAATCAGAAAGCAGCAGCGGATTTGGGAGGATCGGCTGAAGGGATTGGTGTGGTGGGCAGGATTTTGAGAGGAGAGATGGGGAAGTGGAGGAAGAGGGGGAGAAGAGGGGATGGGGATGGGGATGGGGGAAGGGAAGCGGAGGAGGAAGAGGAGGGAGTAGAGTTGGGGGAGTGGGAGGAGAGGGAGGAGGAATGGGCTTGGCTCGTGCCGAACCCACACGATCATGGTACGTCCGCCCATTCTTCTCACCAAAGCACTCCCTCGCCCATCCCTCTGATTCTCCCCCTCCTCTTTCCTCCCCCCAGCCGCCCCCCCCACATCTCTTGATCCCTGGCTCAACCTGCTCCTGAGCTATCAAGCTAGCTCACAAACCCTCTTTATTTTCCCGACTTCCCCGTTTCTTCTTTCCCCCCCCTCCCCTTTCTTCCCCCCAGATGCCCCCGCCACCTCTCTAGATCCCTGGCTCAGCCTGCTCCTGGAGCGCCTGTGCCTTCGTGGAAGCTTCTTCAAGTCTCTTTTTGCTGGGCTGAGCAGGGAATGTGGAGCAGGGGGGAAGGAGGAAGAAAGGGAGGAGGAGGGAGAGAAGGGAGGGGCAGCTTCTTTGTCTCTAAAGCAGCTTGATGAGGGGCGGTTCAGGTGGGAGCAAGCAGGGCTGCTGTGGGGGGTGTGGGGGGCCCTGGCAGCAGTAGCAGAAGCACAGGGCGTTTCAGCTGGGGTTGGGGGAGGGGCGAAGGGGGAGAGCGAGGAGAAAGAGGAGAAAGGTGGAAAGGTAGCGAAGGAGGGGAAAGGAGCAGAGCAAAAAAAGAGGGAGCAAGGAGAATCTTTTCCGCTCGTGGGCCCGGGAAGTTTGAATTTTCTCCTGACCGTTTGCAGAGATTCCGCACGAGCTGTGGTACGGGTTCAGGCCCAGGGTATGCTGCTGGCTCCTAGTTATCAGGTGGGGCATGCTAGTCATATGCCTAGTAACGAGGTACCTCATAACGAAGCTACATCAGCACGCCACATCCTCCGATTCTCCCTGCACTGCCTTCGCATCCTCGCAGCCCTGGATCCCGTACCAGCTGCCGAACCTGCCCCACTAGGCTCGGGAGTCGCAGGCTCGGCAAGCACGGACCTGCTATCAGCGGTTGGAGGTTCGGACCTGATTCCGCTCCTGCTCGACCTGCTGCATGGGCTAGGACCCCCTGCTATTGCATCAGCAGCAGCCACGGCAACAAGAGAAACAACAGCAACGGGAACAGCAGCAGCATCAAATGCCCCCCACAAAGCACCAGGCTCAATCAGAAATCCAGAGATAGGAGCAGCAGCAGCAGCTACATTTCCACCAGGCCCAACCGCTCTGTACCCATGGTGTAACCCGTACCCTGGTTACCGCAGGGATGTGGTGGCAGTGATTGCAAATGCGGGTCATGAGCGCAAGGCATACCAGGATGCTGTGAGGGGCTATACGGCTCCTAGCATTCCGGTATCTGCTGCTGCTAGTGGTGCTATTGCTGCTGCTCCTGGTGGTGCTGTTGGTGGTGGTGGTGGTGGTGGTGCTGCTGCTGCTGCTGCTGCTGCTGCTGATGATAACAGTGCCACTGCCACCGATGCCACCAAAGACAGCAGCAGCAACCCCCACCCCACCGGAAACCCCACCCCCGCCATCACCCCCAGCAGCAACATCATGAGCAGCGGTCTATTCCTAGTCCTGCAGCAGTGCGTGACAGGCGACAGCACACAGGGCGACGATCTCCTCAGGGAATGGGGCCTGTGGGCCGTGCGGAACCTTCTAGAAGCCAACCCCGAGAACGCTGCTGACGTGGCGGCTCTGGAGGTGAGAGGTGGGGCGCAGACGGAGGGGTTGAGAGAGATGGGGCTGGCTGTTGAGGTGGATGAGAGGAGTGGGCGGCCGAAGCTGAGGAATATCGGGGCAGATGAGCGGTGATGGAAGGCGGAATATGAAGTTAGAAGCGCCTCACCCGTGGTAGTAGCACTGGAGGTGAGAGGCGGGGCGCAGATGGAGGGGTTGAGAGAGATGGGGCTGGCTGTTGAGGTGGATGAGAGGAGTGGGCGGCCGAAGCTGAGGAATATCGGGGCAGATGAGCGGTGACGGAAGGAGGAATATGAAGTTAGAAGCGCCTCACCCGTGGTAGTAGCACTGGAGGTGAGAGGCGGGGCGCAGATGGAGGGGTTGAGAGAGATGGGGCTGGCTGTAGAGGTGGATGGGAGGAGTGGGCGGCCGAAGCTGAGGAATATACCGGTAGGAGCAGATGAGCGGTGAAGGAAGGAGGAATATAGGAGCAGATGAGTGGTGAAGGGAGGCGGAATGTGAAGTTAGAAGCGCCTCGTATGTGATGATAGCACTGGAGGTGAGAGGGGAAGAGGGACCGGCGGAGAGGTTGAGAGCGATGGGGTTGGCTTGGCTGTGGTGGTGGATGGGAGGAGTGGGCGGCCGAAGCTGAGGAATACTGGAGCGGATGGGAGGCGAGGGAAGGAGGAACGTGGATGTTGAAGCACATATTAGGTACCTACCTACATACCGGTAATAGCAACACTGAAGGTGGATGGGGAGGAATGGGCGGCTGAGCATTCAACGGAAAAAAATAGGAAGCACGAACTAACACTTACTCGCCTGGTAATTGCCTGTGTAGCCCCTTGAATTACTACAAGACATCATGTAGTCTAGTTTATCACACTGTAAGTGGCAGTGAAACGTGAAGCAGTTAGGAACCACGAAGTGCTTGTTCCCATTCCCACGGCCTCTGATCAGATTAGTTTCTTGTCAGGCTAGCGCCAAATCCGAACACATTGATCTCGGTCCTGGTGGTATGGACACTCTATATCGAGCTGCATCAGATCTTCCCCAACTGAATGCGTCTGTAATGATTATAAATTAACGAGTTTGCATTCAGAATACATACCGATAAATGGCAAGCAATAAGAGAAATAGGAAAATAATACCGTAGACACCATCCTATCATAAGCACGCTTTATTCACAGCGCAAACACCAAAATGCGGGCAGCATGCCCCTAACCCAGCAGCAGCAGCACCACCCATACCGGTATATCCTGCATACGGCCAGGCTAATAATCCCGTGCCGGCTCCACAACAGACTTTTGTCTGCTAGCTGTTCAGATTCGTGCGCAGCTGCCTGGCCCCCATCCACAGCATCCTGAAGAATCCAACACCTTCCGTGCACCATGCCAAGTACACCATGCATCAGGGACCAGAAGCACCACCAGCACTGGCAGCACCTCCCTTGCAAATCGCCTCTGCATGAAGCCCTTCTGTACGCCGTTCCACACCAACAGCAAGCCCCAGCGCCGCTAAGTCAAACCCTAAACCACAAACCCTTCAACAAGCACAGCCCAATACTAACTTCTGAAAAGCAAACCCCTTCAAACTATGCACACCCCAGCACACACAATTCCAAGCCCGCATGAGGGATCAGCACACAGCAGCACTCCTCCCTGCAGCCATATCCACAAGCCATTGTGCCGCCACATAAATGCTGCTGTCCGCCTTCCCCTCACCCCCATCCATCCCCACGCTCGCCATGCTTTCCATGCTTCCCATCCACCCTCCCCCCATAGTACCATCCACGTCAGCATGCGAGAACGGCTCCTTTGACCCTGGGCGAACTGGTGACGTGGAGGGCGACGTGGCAGGGCTTGATTGGACCATGGGTGGAAGGCGTGGTAGCGAGAACGGGGTGTAGCTGGCACAGCCAGACACGTCGACAGATAAAGCCCAGGAAAATGGCAGCACCGGCTTTTTCTCTGGGGTGTTGGTGTTGCTGCTGTTACTGCTATTTCCTGCTGCTGCCGCTGCCGCTGCCGCTGCTGCCACTACTGCCATTCCTGCTCCCGCTTCTGCTTCTGCTGCTGCTGCTGCGGCAGCTGCACAAGCTACCTCACTCCCACTAATACCGCCGGTCCCTGCTACACTGACTGGGATGCTGCTGCTGCTGCTGTTGCACCGGGAAAGCACGCTTATCTGGGGACGGCTAGATCCGGAGAGAGCTACAGGCACCTCTACAGCAGTGCTGCCGCGGTTCACCTCCTCGATATCTCTCACTGCTACAGCGGTGCTGCTGCCAGGCGTGTAACGAGGCGGCTCAAAACGAGTACAACTGGAGAGAGCCACGGCCACTCCTACAGTTGCGCTGCTGCTGGAGCCTTGGAGGTCTGGCAAGGGGAGAGCATGGGGAAAGGGAGAAGCAGGGAGGGGCCGTGAGGGGGTGAGAAACGCGTAGGAAAACGGCAGTGAATGCTAAAAGTTGTACGCTTCGACTTGTAGCTATTCATTCGCGAAAAAAAACTCCAGGTTCGACCTTATTTTTTTCCCACCCTCCATCCTAAACCCTTTAATTCTAGCACATCATCCCCTCTTGACCCTTTTATGTTTCAAAGCGCATCGTCCAAAACCCTTGCTTCTCTCCGGCAATTTCCTCCATACAGAACTCACACCAAAGCCCGAAAACCGTCGTCGAATCCCTCCATAACGAATCATTCCCGAACCCTTGCCCAAAACCCTGTCACTCACCAGCTGTAGGCGTGCTTTCCGCGACTCGCGGCCGCGCAGGGAACGAGGGCTCCGCTCTGATCTTCCAGCAATACGCGGGATCGAACTCCACTCGCACCGTCGTCACAGTGCCCCTGCTCCTGCCGCCCCCACTGCTCCGGCTGCCACCGCTGCTGCGGCTGCCAACGCTGCTGCGGCTGCCGGCGCTGCTTCGGATCCTGCCGGCGCTGCTTCGGATCCTGCCGCCGCCGGTGCTGTCGTTGCCTTCCCTGCCTCGCGCTCTGGCTCTCCGCCTAGAGGCCGTGTGCGCATCGGGAGTGGCGGGCGCATCGGCGGTTATGCGCGTATCGCCAGCGGTGGCCGGCGCAGCAGCGCCAGTCGTCACCCTGCTTCGCGCATGGAGGTCCTCGGAACAGAGCAATGGGCCTGCATAACAAACAAAACCGATCCCTCAGCCAATTGCACCACTGAAAACCCCTTGGATCTGTAAAACCCTAGTGGAAGCACCTCCAAACCCCTGCGATGTAATCACAAACCCCGAAAAACGTCGAATCGTTTCTCTTACCTGAGTCGCCGTCGCAGCGCCCGTGCGTGTCGCGTTCGTAATCCATAGCCGCCGACGCTGATGGCTCCGCCTTCACCTGCCTCGGAAGCTCCGCCCTTGCCTCACTCCAAACCTCTGCCCCACGCAAAATCTCAGTTCCGGTCCGAACTGTCTCGTGAGATATGGTCCCCCCCATCCGTTCCAAACCTGCGAAAGGAGAGTTTGAAAGAGTAAGCGTTGGAAGACGGAAACCCTCAGAGTGTGCATTGGCGACTCGCAGAACCGATGCATTCACGACAGTACATGCGTATGATTAAATCTCGCCCTAACATGCGTATGATTAAATCTCGCCCTAACATGCGCTCACGAGAACACGGCGACGCGGATCCAGAGATTTCGAGACTCACCACTGCTGGGAGACGCCTTAATCGGAGAGCCGTTGATCGGAGAGGCGTTGCTCCACGTGTGCGGTCGAGATCGCATCCGCCGCTTCTTCCGCACGGTGAACACCAACATCCCGGGGCACTCGCCATCGCCATCACCGCCATCGTTGCAGTCCCCGTCGCCGGACCTTTTCACGCTGCCGCTGCTCCAGTTAACCTCGTCGCTGCCCGAATCGGAGCCGGTTATACCGAGTACACTCCCCGAGTTGGACGAGGCCGCACCGTGGTATCTCCTAGAAGGACGATCCCACTCGCAAGCCGCGGGATCTTGGTGAGATCCGCTCTTGTACGCGTTAGTGCATTCCCTTGTATCGCAGCACGCGCAGGAGGAATCCTCGGACCGCGAGATCCTCCCAGATCCCTGAGAACACGGCGACGCCCACGGCTCGCTACTGCTGCTTACACGCCTACGGCTCTCGGCCTCCACTAGCAACTCCGGAAGGGCGGCGTCAGCAGCATTGATCCTATCGGATCTGATTCTGTCGGATCTGATCCTATCGGGCGAGGGAGCGGTCGTATCGCTGTCGTAGCTCATGGATTGCTCCGCCGCCTCCTCCTCCTCTTCGCCACCCTCTGCCTGCCACGCAGATTCGTAGAGTGGATGCGGATCTATGGCGGGAACGATGGCTAGCATTGATTCGAGGGAGGAGGATTCGATCTCGGCTTTCGTGTCCTCGTCAATCGAGCTGTTTGTGACGGCTCTCGCTCCGTGAAGCTTGTACGACAGCCTGAGTGAGTGAAGCGGAAAGGAGGAGAAGAGAAAAGAGGAAGAGTAAAAGGAACGTGATAAACATTGAAGAGTCGAAACAACAATGTGAACATGGACGCTAATCTGGTAACTACGACAATGCAGAGTCGACACTCAATCATTCAGAGACTACAGTCATTGCTAGTCAACAAAACCCAGCAAAGGTGCGAAGGAAAGACCTTCAGCAGAATGTTAGGAACATAAGTGGCTAATGAGACTCAGATGAGACACAACGCGCAGTAGTGCCAGGAGCCGTCACGCACCTATCGTACACTCGTGCCGCCTCTTGCTGGTTCGCGAACATGCCAAAGCGGCAGCGAGTACCGCGAATCTGAATGCGAGCAAGCCAGCCATCCTTGTAAACCTCCACACCTCGCATCTTCACCGGATTCCGCAACATCATGGAACTCATCTTCCCGTATATTGCTAACTCAAACTGCCTAAATGCCTAAGCGTGGATTGTAAAACACAAAGGAGCTTGCGTTGATAGGAGAGAAGCTAGAGACATTACACAATTACTGAGCTCCTGGAACAAGGAATTGCTTTTCGCCTGAGGGAAACTGGAGAAAGCTGAGACAGAAGTGAGGAAAGTGGAATTGGTTTGGAGGAATGAGGAAATGAGTAAATGAGGAATTGGAGGTGGAGAAATTGCTTTCTGCAAAAAGCAAGGCGGGAAAATCTGGAAACAGAAGCAAGCGAACAGGCGCGGCACTGACGATTGGCGAGGGTTTGCTCTCTCGCCAGCTTCTAGAGAGGACGGAATCCGACCGGGAGCAGAGCCCAAAACCACCGCAGAACCACCAAACCCGCGTGCAGATCAACGGCTGAGAATCACGATGTGCAAAACACGTGGCAGGAAAATGGGTTGGTGCGGCTTCTTGAAGCCACAAAGGGGGTCCTTGGAGTTGCCACAAGCCATATATTTTCTCCGCGTGAGAGGCTGATGGCAGGCAAGGCGGTGTGGTGGGCACGACGCTGGCGGCTGCGTTGGCGGTGCTTTGATTTTATTGGTGAGCGACGCCAGAACCTTGGAGCGGCATGGCAGGGCAGGGCAACTTTGGTGGCACTTGAAACAATTTCGGACGGTCAGGTGGAAATCTTCTGTCTTGGCGTCGATCGTCCATGCTGGCGATTCGAAATGCTGTCCATGAATACGCTTGGCAGGAAATCAAAGTTTGTTTGGCTGTATCAGCATGAGCGCGCCTCAATGCCACAAGGACCGACCCTGTCGGGAAGGTGTGAGGTGCACACGCAAGGAAATCTGCAAGGTAGGGATCCCCATAACACCAGCCTGTATAATGACTTTCCCTTTCAAAGTACGCTTATAAACTGAACAAACTCACAGATTTGAAGTGTGGAAGGGAGCATCAAGAGCCCGTTCTCTCTGATTAAATCTGCAAGTTCAGGGTTTAGGATCGAGGTTTAGTTAGAGATTCCAAACCAAAATAACATTTGAGTGACTTGATTGGATTCTTCCGCCGCACCCCCGTAGATCCTGATAATGTATACTTGCGTCGTTATCGAAGGAATCTGCCCAATCACGAAAGACTCTCGTTGGTTTGAGCCTGGGCTGGACGCGTTCCGAAAAATACTTCGCAACCATAAATTCGTTCACACAACTGCATCACTGCAAATCCGAGTTTACCAAGGCTGTCGGTCAAATAATTGAAAACCCCACGCATTTTTTCATACACTATGCATTTCTTTGCATTTTTTTCTGTGTGTTTCCAGGCACGCATACTGCCAAACAAGCAGTTGAATGAAAAGTTTCGAGGACTCGAATTCGACAAGTATTGCCTGCCTCATGGTTGTCCTGTCCCGCTTCGCCGAATATCGCGGCCACTGTACCTACAGCAAAACAAATGACCGAAAAAAACCCTGACAGATCGTCGTGTCGTGTCAGAAAAGAAGTCAGTCGCCAACAGCTGTTTCATTACAATAGCGAAATTAAAAGTCCAGTGCTGTACAATAGAAAGTGGCCCTTCAATCTTGAGGTATTTGCGTCTAAAGCGCGTACGCGAGCCAATTTCTGTATTACGCAAGCACGATCTCGAGGTTTGCTGATCGTAGGTCTATCCAACTCAGCCATTCCGACGAGTATTTCAGGTTGACAACTAAAATGGACACTAAAACAACAATCAAACCCGAGCCTTCGTTTGCTGCGGCACCATCTCATCGCGGTATGGCTACTAGAACCTTTCAAAAAGGCGGTTCCGGCGAGGAAGCTGAGAGGGATGAAGGAGGCCATTCTGACGAAGAGGGAGAGGACGGATCGCTGGATATGGAGCCGATGGATCTCGAGGAGTGTTTGCGCAATTTGCCGGTAGTTGCGGCGGAGGAGGTGGTTCAGCGCCGGCTAAACCGCCTCAGAAAGTCAGTTCCTTACTTTTCGCGTAACCCTAATTATCGTTTTTTTCTTTACTTGCGGCGCACACCTCATTATTGTTGATGAATGCGGGCGTCGTGGCGTGGATCACGGGCTTTGAACTTCAGAGGACTCCCATGTAGTATCAAACCCTAATTTAGGTTCTGAGGCTGAATTCGCTTGAAACTGTATGCAGCAGCCTTGGGGGTCGACGTGTACTGTGGTGAATTGTCCCACAACCTGAATTCCTTCATCTCTAATCCGTCTTGTTTCGTTATACGACGGTCCGCTACAGGCTCATGGCGGTGTACCGCGGGCAGTACTGGGCGCTGCTGGAGGAGCTGCGCGCCAAGTACCGCCGATTCTGCATGCGCACGGGGGAGAGCGGATGGAAAGAGCCCGCGCCCGCAGCAGGCGTGCATCCTTCCGCCACAGGCGGAACAGGCGGAGCGGGAGAAGGCAGCGAATTCACCTTTCCGCCTGCTTCACGCCCCCACGCGCTTCTTCCGCCTCCACCGCCTCCCTTTCCCCCCCCTTCCTCGAGAGACACGAGTTTCAGGGCAGCAATTGGCGGAAGCGGGGTAGAGGGTGGCGGAGCAGGGGGGGAAAGCGGAGCAGCGGGGGAGGGCGGAGTTGCAGGGGGAAGCGGGGCAGCGGCGGGGGGAATGGGGGTAGGGGGAGCAGCAAGGCCGGAGCCGCACGCGCCTGACAAACCAGCGAATGCCACGTTGCACTGCGCGGCGCCTGGGCCATGCCTGGCGAAACCCCTGGCGTTATCCGTCTTCTGTTTGAATCACATTCTTTTAGAGCCGCGCCAGAGGCTATACAAGCCCTGCACCTACATTGTCTGCTGGTATGATTCCACCCTCCCCATTCTCCCCATCCCCCGCCCATGCCCCCGCCGTCTTCTGTTTGAATCACACCCTTTTGGAGCATTTCCAGCCACACCTGCTAACACCATCTTAACCGTTCCCCACCCCTTTTATGATCCCCTCCCGCTCTTCCCCTCACCTTTCCCCCCATGCCCCTCCGCCCTCTGCCGTTTCCCCAGGGGATCCAATAGCGGGGCGCACCTGCCCTGCGGGCGCCCCGCCTTCCTTTCCCCCGTCCACACCTGCTTACACCATCCCACATCCCCCTCCTCCTCTCCCCCCCCATTCTCCCCCTCCCTCTGCTGTTCCCCCAGGGGCTCCAATAGCGGGGCGCACCTGCCCTGTGGGCGCCCTGCCTTTTCCGCCTTCTCCCCCGTCCTCTGCGCCCACCACCGCCACCTCATCCCGCCAGCTCAGCAGCCCTTCCCACCACGTCACCGGGGGTATCTGGAACCCGTTATAGTGGAGGGGGGAGCGAGTCGGGGGAAGAGGGGCGGAGAGAAGGGCGGAAAGGGTGGGGGGAGGAAGCGGAGGAAGAAGCTGAAGGGGGGTAGGAGAGGCATGGGCGACGGAGCAGGAGGGGGGGATGGGGCGGGGGGAGGGAAGAAGCAGGTGGGCGTGCTTACACTGAGTGTGATTATTACGGAGATGGTTCGGACGATTCAGACCCAACGGAGGATGTTAGAAGAAGAGGAGGAGGAGGGGGGAGAGGAGGGAAGGGGGATGGAAGCAGAGGGGAGGAGAGAGGAGAGGGAGGAGAATGGAGAGGTGCAGAGCGGTGGAAACCAGGAGGGGGTGAGAGGAGACGGGGAGCTTAAAAGAGCGAGAGAGGGGAGCGGAGGAGGTGGTGGTAATGGGAATGGAAGGGCAGTGGAGGTGGCTTTAAGAGGTCTATATGATGATCCATCAGAGGAGGGGCGGCACAAGTGGCTGGAAGAAATCGAATCTGGATTTGGTGGTGATGGTATGGATTGGATGCAAGGAAAAGGTGGAGGGATGGGAGACGGAGTAACAGCAGGAGCAGGTTTTGAGAGTTTTCAAAATGCGCCTGTGGCAGGGTCTGGTGTGGCTTATAACGGGTCTGGAGCAGGATTAGTGGCTTATAGCGGGTCTGCAGCAGGGTTTGGTCGATCCCCCTGCCCTCCTGTCCCACATTACTTGACCCATAGCAGCAGCAGCAAGGTGGCCTTTCAGTCGACTCAAAAGTCACCTGGTGGTTCCCCTCACCCTCCTGTCCCACACTACCTGACCCATAGCAGCAGCAGCAGCAGGCGGAGTCCCGTTTTCCGCTCAGTAGCTGCTGCTACAGCTGCCGTTCCTGTTGGGGCTGCATACACTGCCGCCACAGCTGCTGTTCCTGTTGGGGCTACAGACACTGCTGCTACAGCTGGGGTGGGTGGTGGGGCTGGAGCAAGTGGAGGGCAAGCAGGGTCTGAGGCCAGGCCGGCTGTAGCACGAGGAACACGAGAGGCAGGAGTGGGAGAAGCAGCAGCGCCCAAGTCAGGAGTAGGAGGAGCAGCAGCACCAGCAGGGGCAGCAGCAGCAGTAGCAGCAGGAGTAGCAGCAGGAGTAGCAGCAGGAGTAGCAGCAGGAGTAGCAGCAGGAGTAGCAGCAGGAGTAGCAGCAGGAGTAGCAGCAGGAGTAGCAGCAGGAGTAGCAGCAGGAGTAGCAGCAGGAGTAGCAGCAGGAGTAGCAGCAGGAGTAGCAGCAGGAGTAGCAGCAGGAGTAGCAGCAGGAGTAGCAGCAGGAGTAGCAGCAGGAGTAGCAGCAGGAGTAGCAGCAGGAGTAGCAGCAGGAGGTGCGGGAGGAGGTGGGGAGTGGCTGGACACGGCGCATGGTAGGAGCAAAGGGGGAGAAGTGGGATTAAAGAGGAAGAGAGATGACAGCGCAGTCCTAGTTTCGGCTCCTTCTGCTGCTGCCGCGGCATTGAATGGGGGTGGCATGATCATGGGATTGCCAAGGGGGAGTGGGATGGGACCGGGGAGGAGTATGGATATGGGCATGGGTATGGGTACGGGCATGGGTATGGGTACGGGCATGGGTATGGGTACGGGCATGGGTATGGGTACGGGCATGGGTATGGGTACGGGCATGGGTATGGGTACGGGCATGGGTATGGGTATGGGTACGGGCATGGGTATGGGTATGGGAAGGGGTATGGATCCAAACAATAGGTTTGAAATGAGCATGGGTGTGCATATCGGTGATAGGGGATCCAACTATGCGTTGCAAAGTCAAGGTCATGCCATGCAGGCAGGTGAGGGGCTATTTCCCGGAACACAGCTACCCGAGGGAGGGCATTCTCAGAAGATGCCTTTTCAGGCTGAATCCCCTGCTGCTGCTGCTGCTGCTGCTGCTAATGCTGGTGCTGCCGGTGACAGTGCTGCTGGTGCTGCTGCTGTTCCAGGGCCAGGTTCTAAAAGGAGTATGGTAGCAGCACCGAGAGGTTTTCTTCCATCGGCCCGCCTGCAATTTTCGGGCAGCACAGAAATGTCTTACGATGAGACGTTTGCAGGAGGTGGTTCGGAAGCAGACAGCCTGTTTTGTCCTGACATGCCTTGGCATCACAGCACTCACATGCCTGTCCATCATGCCACTCACATTCATGGGCATAATGCCGCTGACATGCATGGATCTTTCTCTGGGAACATGCATGGGAGACAGGTTCACGGTCAAGGCAGGCTTTCACGCTTGTCTGCAGCCTCTGCTGACGCTGCTGCTCCTTCTGATACCCATACTGGTCCCTCCGCTTATCAGCAGCGTCATCACAGCCAACACCAACAGCAGCAACAGCAGCATCCTTCTCCTCCTCCTCCCCTCCCTTCTTATCACCACCCTTCTCCCCCTCCCCCTTCTCATCACCACCCGTCTCCTCCTCCCGCTTCTCATCACCACCACCCTTCTCCCCCTCCTCGGTCCCATCACTCACCCACGCAGGACCTATCTCTATGCCACACTCATTCCCCCACAGTCGACAGGTCTGCGGGTCCTCTTTTTGAGTTGACTCAGAAGCATGCACAATCAGGCACAGTTGACGGGTCAGTTGGTCCTGAGGAGAGCTTTGAAGGGGAGGGCTTTGCAGAATACTTTTGGCATCCAGGTGGTTTTATCAACGGCTCAGATGCAGCCGCGGCTGGCTTCTGGTTACCACCAGATGCTCCTCCTGCTATTCCCGATGCTCCTGTTCTTCCTGCTGCTCCTGCCGTTCCCCCTGCTACTCCCGCTCCTCCTCCTGCTCTTGCTGCTCCTGCTGCTCCTGCTGCTCCTGCCTCTCCTGCTGTTCTTCCTGCTGCTTCTATTGCTGCTGCTGCTCCTGCTGTTCCTCCTGCTGCTTCTACTCCTGCTGCTTCTGCTACTCCTGCTCCTGCTCCTGCCGCTTCTTCTGCTTCTGCCTCTGCCTCTGCTCCTCCTCCTGCTCGTACGATTGCTGCTTCTGCTGGTGGTAATGCTACCAGACCTTGCTCCGAACCTGTTCTGGGCTCCGAGCCTGCCCAGGGACGTGCATCCGATCCTCCTGGAACCCCTGGTTTGGATGGACCAGCCTCAGGTGTAGTGACCACTACACGTGACGCTTTCTCATCAATTCCCGCTGCTACTGCTGCTGCTCTTCCTTCTCCTCTTGCGTCCCCTGCTGCTACAGCTTCAGCTTTGCCTGCGGTTGCTACTACAGGTGCTACTACAGGTGCTGCTACAGGTGCTGCTACAGCTGCTGCTACAGGTGCTGCTACAGCTGCTGCTACAGCTGCTGCTACAGCTGCTGCTGCTGCTGCAACTGCAACCTCTCGCAATGCCACTTCAGTCAAAGTGTCACCTCCTCCTGTGGCTGCTACAGATGCTGTTGGTGCCATGACAAGAGCTACAGACGTTGCACGTACCATTGGAGCAACAACAGGTGCGGTAGCAGGTGGAGCAGCAGTTGCAGCAGCAAGTGCAGCAGCGAGTGCCGTTTTACCCAAGGAGGGCAGCGAAAGGAGGGGAGGAGCAACCTCTGCTGGAGGTATGACTGCGGGAGTAGGATCCAAAGCAAGTCTGTCAATTGCTCTAACTGATACAGCGCCTACAGCTGCTACAGCAGCAAGAGTTGCACCAGCAGCATCAACAGCAGGGGCAGCAGCAGGGGCAGCAGCAGGGGCTGCAGGAGCAGCAGCTCCACGTGTGACAAGTCAAAAGGCAACAGGGGGTCAGCCTCACTCCACAGCAGGAGTTTCACAGCCGCCATCACTGCCTGTAACACGGTTACCACCCCAACCTGCGCCTTCTGCCCTTGCCAGTGGAAGGGTGAACAGTGCTGCCTCTGTCCGTGCACCCATTGAAACGCCTGCTGCTACTGCTACTAGGGCTGCTGCTTCTGCTGCCGCTGCTGTTGTTCTTGCTGCTGCTGTGGCTCCTGCTGCTGCTGCTCCAACTCCTGCTGCCACTGCTTCTGCTGCTGCCACTGGTGCTGCTGTTGCTGCTCCTAACTGTGCATTTCCTGCTGTTGTTGGTAGTGCTGCCCCTTCCCCTGCTGCTCCGCCTGCTGCCCCTCATGCTTCCACAATTGCTCCTGTCCCTGCTGAGGTCCCTGCTCCTGCTGCCACTGCTGCCACTGCTGCCACTGCTGCCACTGCTGCCACTGCTGCCACTGCTGCCACTGCTGCCACTGCTGCCACACGAGCCCCTGGTCCCAGACTCGCTGCTCAAAAGTCCTCAGATCCCAACCCCCACGTTTCTGTCTCTGCACTCAGGGCACACCCCCCAGCAAGCCCTCACAGCCTGCCTTATCCACCCTATCTCCCTCCTGGGAGTCCCCTGATGCCATACGGCCCCCCACTCCCCTCGGTTACTGTGGGCTACCCTCCTTCCGCTCCCACTGCTACCGCTGCTGCCGCTGCTGCTGCTCCTGCTGCTGCTGGTGTTGCAACCACTGCTGCTGCTACTGCTGGTGCTGCTGGTACTGTTGCTTCTGCTACTGCTCCTGCCACCACTGCACCTGCTGTGACGCCTGCAGGCTCCCCCTCAATTTCAGGAGCCGCTCGTAACCAGTCAGGCCCTGCCACGTCACCTCCCACTAACAGCGCTCCCGCGGCTGCATTGGGCGTTTCCTATTGGCCAGGTTCTTCCCCAGGTTACCCGCCCACCACTCCCCACCCATCCCACCCATCAGCCTACCCACCATACCCCTACATGCCCCCATATGGATACTACCCCCCATACCCGCCGCCGCACATGGTTTCCCCGCAATACCCTTTCCATCCGCATTATCCACACATGATACCCCATGGTGGTACACCCATGCCCCCACCGTCTCATATGCCGTATGATTCTTCTGCAGCTGCTGCGGGTGCTGCTGCTGGTGCTGGTGCTGCTGGTGCCAGTGGCGCTGGTGCTGGTGGTGCTGCTGCTGGTCCTGCTGCTGGTGCTGCTGCTGGTGCTGGTGGTTTTGGCACTGGTGGTATGATGCATGTTGCCCCCGGTTCCCCTCCCATGCATCCTAGCGCATATCCCCATCACGCACATCATCAATTTCCCCCACCCATGCCTCCCGCGTATGGGTATTACGAGCATTGGCATCCGCATTATCCTCCTCCAATGCCCCATGTTGCTTCTCATCCCCATGCACGTCCACATGCGCATCACCATGCACATCCCCATGCGCATCCCCATGCGCATCCCCATGCACATGCATATGTACCACGGGGAGGAAGTCATGGTATGGTTGGGGAAGGCATTGGTTCAGAGAGGGCAGTGAGAGCTTCTAGTCCGGCTGTGGGTGGTAATGAAGGAGGAAGAGGAGTAGAGGGTGGATCGCATGGTTTGCCACATACGAGCTGAGTTGGCTGGCAGTGAGAATATGTTAATAGTTTGGTAGCCTATGTAGTGAGCTTGTGTTGATGACTACGTCAGGTCTCAGTCGTTTGATGTATGCGGAGTTGTTTATATTGAGGAATTCAGTTGGCCCTCTGCTTGGTTCTTAAAGCGACGGTGCACATTTGCCACCCAAACCCCAGAACCCTGGCGAACTGTTACTGCGGATGGAAAGTGTCCGCACGAAATCCTGGTTTTCGCCAGCCAGCACTTTCGCGCTGGCAAGCCTGGTTCAAAAAAAAAACTTCTGAACCCAACACTGCCAAAAGTTGCCCGTCGCTTTAAAAAGCGAGCACCATTCGCAGTTTCACGCGTTTGGCTGGCACTCTTGTGTCTGAACCGATGACATGGCATGAACCACGCTGATTCTGCGTCACTGATACACGACACGGGCCAGCTTCTCGTGTCGCCAAGTCAACCAGTACCCACGTCATCAGTCCACAGCCACATTTGCTGATCCTGGCCTCGTCAGCTGGTCCCAACACAAAAGTTGCCCGCCAAATTGGGATGCCTAGTCAGAGTCAGTTCTGCTCCCTTGGGATCATCATCAAGCAGTCAAATTCGTCCCTGGAAGCTGGATTCTGGTTTGGTCTGGACCCTCGAGTTTGGCTGGCATCTACATTTATTTGGCTTGGCAACTCGTGACCATTTTGAAGATAGCCATTTTATCAGGCAGTCAGCCATTCGCCTAGACATTGGATTCGCCTCCAAGTTTAGGAGAAACAAACCTCTACATAAGGAGTATCGTTCTTCTTACGTACAAGCAGAGCCGATTATTCTGCGCTGCACGAAGAACGCCAGCTCGAATTAGATTACCTAACTCCCGTCTCTATCTAGTGAGCTGCGTTTTCGGCTGAAATGGCTCAGCAGATTGTCAGGCACTTAGGCCGTCACATCAGGAGGGCCTGCCAGACTAACGCCGTTCACCCCGTTGCCAGTCCCTGGACTGCCATTGCTCGGCGCGGTTATGCGGTGAGCAAGATTCTTCGACCTGGCCAATCTCTTTCTCAGCTATCCGTCGTGCTTGCAGTCGCTCTCAGGGCTTGTGTCCATTTTAGCGAATTCCGCGACTTATTCTTACCGTTATCTCCCTGTTCCAGGCTACCAATGACGAGGCCTATGCCTGGATTGAGAAGTCCAAGGGTCGCTCAGACGTCTCTGTAAGTACAGATTTACCAGCTTGGTCTTACTTGTTTGAGAGCAACATCCAATCACCATTCGGCTACTTGTTGGTTATTGTGAATTCTCATAAGTTTATTACAATTCGTCGGCCATTGTTGCTGTGTCGGAATTTGAGTATGCGTCTCTGCTCCCTTTTGTTCCTTTTTTCTTTTTCTCTCGCCGAATTCGTTTCGCTTGTCGCAGTGGCCCGTTGTACTCAACACGCCTCTTAAAGACGTCGACCCCGAGATCTACGACATCATCGAGCACGAAAAGAACCGCCAGTGGAAGGTCCGTCGTCCCTCGCACGTCCAGACCCCAACAGCCCTAGCTTTTGTGAATCTGTTTCTCTTCAATCCGCGACGAAATTCCACAAATTCGGATCAAAGAGTTTGGGAAATGGCACGGTGCTTTCCTTATGACGAAATGCTGCTTTTTGCTGTTCGTTGGTCAGGGCCTGGAGCTGATTCCGTCGGAGAACTTCACGTCGCAGTCGGTGATGGAGGCCGTGGGGTCCGTCATGACCAACAAGTACAGCGAAGGCTATCCCGGCGCTCGCTACTATGGCGGCAACGAGTGAGTCTCCTCTTTACCCCTCACGTGAACCTTTTAGTATACCGTTGAGCCGACCCATTCCTTTATTTTCATTATTTTCATCAAACATGGGCCTGAAGTACTGGAGTCTCGCGCTTCGTGCATCACATGCGTATAATATCCTCTTCACGCGCATCACATGCGCATAGCGCATCACCTCACGTTTCCCCATCCTGTTTCCCCGTCTGCTTCCTCGCAGGTTCATCGACATGGCTGAGACTCTCTGCCAGAAGCGCGCTCTGGAGGCATTCCGGCTGGACCCAGCCAAGTGGGGAGGTAAGCCTCAATTCCATGCGAACGAATTCAATTTACTCTGTTTGAGGCTTTTGAGCATGGCACTGTCTACCTGCCCGTGGCAGAGCAGTTCAATCCCTGTGCGGGCCATCACTTTCAAATACTTGCATCTTAGCGTCTATATTATCTCTTCCCGTTCTGTCCCTCCTCCCCCCGCTTTTTTTTCTTAACCAGTAAACGTGCAGTCGCTGTCGGGCTCGCCCGCCAACTTCCAGGTGTACACGGCGCTGCTGAAGCCGCACGAGCGCATCATGGCGCTGGACCTGCCGCACGGCGGCCACCTGTCGCACGGCTACCAGACGGACACCAAGAAGATCTCCGCCGTCTCTATTTACTTCGAAACCATGCCCTACCGCCTCGACGAGACCACCGGCCTCATTGACTACGACACGGTACGTGCTTGTCCGTTTGCGAGGCTTGCCTACGGCATACAGTGCATCCGCGCGACCTCGCTGCTCGCTGTTCGGCCACACGCTTGCCGCTAGGCTTCATCTGCATTGTAATCTTCTGGCGAATCTGTTCCTTCCCCGCGTGTTCTCCCATGCTTGGCTTCCTCATGTATTTCCTCGTCCATCCCCTCTGTGGCCTTGGACTCGTCTCCCGCCCTCTCGCTGCGCCCGCAGATGGAGAAGACCGCGAAGCTGTTCCGCCCGAAGCTCATTGTGGCGGGCGCCAGCGCGTACTCGCGCCACTACGACTACCCGCGCATGCGCAAGGTGAGAGCGAGTGAAGGCTGTGAAGGTTAAGATACGAATTTTAAGCGTTCGAGCAAAGGAGGAGTCGAATGCATGGCAAACATAGTATTTTGCCATGATTTCTTGCGGAGTGGTATTCACCGTCCGTTCGTGCCTCCCTGATTTCCCTTCCTCCCATTTTACCGGTTATTTTTCCAGGTCGCGGACCAGCAGCGCGCGATTCTGCTTGCTGACATGGCACACATCAGTGGCCTCGTGGCAGCAGGAGTGGTGCCATCGCCCTTCGACTATGCTGACGTGGTCACCACCACCACTCACAAGTCCCTCCGAGGGCCACGTGGCGCCATGATCTTCTACCGCAAGGGAGTCAAGGAGACCGACAAGAACGGCAAGGAGGTGAGCTTATAGCGAGTATGAATGTAGCACATGGCAGAGATGATGTTGGTGGGGGGGGTGGGGGGGTTTGCAGGATTAGGCGAGAGTAGATATTGTGGTGGGGGAGCAAAGGAATGCGTAAGAAAATGTTTAAATTCACTCAAACAGAGAAGGGTGTTATGAAACAATGGTCGACTGACTGAGAGTCACCTTGTTTTACAACCGGGCTGACGAAATTCAAGACTTTTGATTCTGCTTACAGGCACAAGAGCACCTGCTTCTCATTCACTTCCCCCAGTGTCCTCTGATTCCTTCACACCCAGTCTGTCAGTGCCAACCCTCCCTTTCCATTCCTTCACGATTTAAAAGTCTATCAACTCCAGGGCTCCTAGACCTCTGCGGTGGCGGTATGTGGTGGTCTCGCCCACTTCGTCCTCTTTGCTTATGCCACCTTCGTTTGTGTCACTCACCCCCTCGCAGATCATGTACGACTTGGAGGACAAGATCAACTTCGCTGTGTTCCCAGGCCACCAGGGCGGCCCCCACAACCACACCATCACCGGCCTCGCTGTCGCACTCAAGCAGGTGCGTTCTTGCTGGTAGCGATGTAAGGCAGCGCAATCACCCAACCACACAGCACAACTGTACCATAACTGGCCTCTTCACAGCCCCCAACCATGTAGCGTACTTTCACATACCCCTTACAACTACTGGCGAAGGCGCAAGCCAACACGTGTATGACACTGGGCTACAATAGGGTCGACAGTGGAACTGATGATGCTATGTTTCCTCCCTCTCCGCCGCCCCTCACATGGCAACAGGCGGCCTCAGAGGAGTTCAAGCGATACCAGCAGCAGGTCATGTCTAACAGCGCTCGCTTCGCCAAGGTACCCACTCCACACCCGCCTTCTCTCTAAATTGCCTGCACAATTGTTTGCTTTTATTCTCCCACCCTGTCATAACGACCCTCCCCACCCCCCCTGCCCAGCCCCCGCTTCTGCTTCCATCCCCAACCCCTCTGTCTCATTTTCTTCGCAATGCTGGTAGACACATGCACACTTGCTGTCACACCCCCTCACACGCACAAACAAGCACATTCGCAGCTGCATAGATTCAATCGTTCCTTCGTTAACCACTAAAGTCGCACACACCCTCACACCCCCCTGGCATGCACACGCATCATCAGCAAGTGTCCTGGCTCTGACTCTCGTGTCCACCCTTTTTCCCCGTTGGCCCGTCAGGCCCTGCAAGATCGTGGGTATGACCTGGTATCAGGCGGCACGGACAACCACCTGGTTCTTGTGAACCTCAAGAGCAAGGTATGTAGAGAGAATGGAGTTACGATTTTTATGACTGAAGAGAGCAAAGCAGTTTTGAATCCCTACTTTCACACTTTCCAGTTCTGGTCCATGTTCCATAGCTCCATAAATCCTGCCCCTTCCCTCCCCTGCTGCCACGAGTCCAGGGAGTGGACGGGTCGCGAGTGGAGCGGGTGATGGAGCTGGCTCACATCGCAGCCAATAAGAACACAGTCCCGGGCGATGTCTCCGCCATGGTGCCTGGCGGTGTGCGAATGGGTAAGTGCTGCACTGAATTAAGTATGGTGCACAAATCATGCAGTGGAGGTTCCTGGCCCCAACCCAATTCTTTGCTCGTCATGAAACATCTACCCTCATTTTACAGGGATATGTGGAGGAGGGATCTGAGATAAGAGGGTGTTACTCCACCTTCCAATCCAATGATGCTAATTATTTCTCGTCCATGCCATTTCGTGCCCTTCTCTCCCTTACAGGAACACCCGCCCTCACCTCAAGAGGCTTCACAGAGGAGGACTTTGAGAAGGTGGCTGATTTCTTCGACCAGGCTGTCAAGATTGCAGTGGATGCTAAGGCCCTCTCAGGTACATGCCATGCCATGCCACACATGCCATGCCGTGTCATGCCATGCCATGGCATGCATACCATGCCATTCCATGCACACCATGCCATGCCATTCCATGCACACCATGCCATGCCATGCCATGCTATGCCATGCCATACATGCCACACATGCCATGCCATGGCACCCCATGCTGTCTGGGGTTTGCGTCAGACACAGCACCATATTTCATGCAGCATGATTAGGTCACATATGCTCTCTGTTTCTTTGGTCAAGTTCCTGATACACTTGCTGAAAGTGACCCTGACACTACCTTATGGAATCTTCAATATTTGCAGGACCTAAGCTGAAGGATTTCCGCACCACCGTGGACACAAACGACAAGATCAAGGAGGCGATTGCGGGGTTGAAGCATAACGTAGAGGAGTTCGCGAAGCAGTTCCCCACAATTGGCTTTGAGAAGGGTACCATGCGATACACCTCATAGTCTCCTCGTTAAAAGGGGGGTTTTGCCTTTTCCCCCATTTTTGTTTCATCCCATTGTTTATCTTACATGGTGACACCTTGTTACATTTGTTTTTCATGTTAAAAGATCTCAAAGTCTAACCTGTGCAACGAAAGGACACAAATACAGAGCATTGATGGAATGCAGAGGCAATGTTCACTAATGTTTTTGACTCCCAAGACCATGAGAATCATTCTTATGGGTTCAGTGGTGCTGTGCTTCCAATACTGCTTCCACAGCTGCTGCTGCCCTGGCTGCTGCTGTGGATAGAGCTGCTGCCCATACCAGGTCCCATTTCATAATTCACACCAAGTCCTCCCATCTCATGGTTCACACCAAGTCCCTGGAACTTGGCATGTGCACTGGGACTCACATAAACAGCACTGCCACGGCTGCTGCGCCCGCTGCTGTTGCTGCTGCCCTGACAAATCTGATCATCTGTGCTGTAGGCCCCGGAACGTCCACACTCCTCACCAGACAAAGCTGCTACAGTGGAGGTAACACCAGTAGATGGTGCTGTGGCTGGTAAAGAAGTGAGCTGATAAAGGGGATGGTGGTGAGGCATGGTGGGTGTTGGAGTGAGGGAGTGAAGAATGGCCTCCAGACGCGAGCACACAGATCCCATACCAGGCCTGCGGTAACCAATCGGGTCCGTGCACAACACTGCCACGTCAGCAATCTCAGCCAGCTGAGGCGGAAATTCGGGCTGCTGACATGGCATGCGGGGATCGACAATATCTGCCAGGTGGCCGTGGGAGAGCATGCGGTGAGCCCAGTCAGCAAGAGTGGTAACACCGAAGGACTGGTTACTAGAGGCACCCAGAGAAGGATCTTCAAGAAGAAGTTTCGTGGAAGCTGCCCTCGCATGTGCTCCCACCGGGATTTGAAAGATCTGATCCTCAGCTGGTACGATCTCTGAGAGTGCTTCGCATGTTTCCTGAGGCCAGGTGATATTCGGTGCCGCAGAGCTGTTGTTGCAGGGGAGAGTGGTGGTGAGTACTACAGCAGAGCGTGGTCTGCATGAAGGTGGGGCGGTGGTATGGGCAGCAGTTATTGCTGAGTGGTCCTCTCCTGAAGGTAAGCCGGGTGGTTCTGTGTTAGTGTATGGGTTTGCAGGGGCCTGGGTACTGCATTCCAGGCTGCACTGCTCCGTAGCATCGTTTGCTGCTTCTCTTTCCACTGCTGCTTCAACTGCTTCACTGTGTAGAGAGCCTACTGCTGCTGGTGCCTTTGCTAGTGTTGCTGCTGTTGCGGCTGTTTGACCTGCTTGCCCCCCTGCTGCTGCCAACGCACCTACAGAAGCGTGAGCTGGCTGTGGCGCAGCAGCAACGGCTGGGGGTGAAACGTAGAGCAAGGGGCGCTGACCGGTGAGGAGCTCTAGGAGAACAACACCGAAGCTGGTGGGGGGGAAAGGGGGGAAAGAGGGGTGGGGAGAGTGAAGCGCATGTGAGGGCGCAGCAGGAAGCGCTTAAGGGCAGTGGGTGGGTGGTGATAAACTCAGCACCCAGATACCCCCTCGTGGTGCACAGAATCGCTTACGTAAGAGAGCAAGGGCAGCTGACCTGTACACGCCTGTCTTGGTGGAGGTGCGGTGTGTGGTGATGAGCTCAGGGTCCAGATAGCCCCTCGTGCCTGACAGAGATAGGTCTAGTCTAGGCAGGAAAGCAGGGGCAGCTGACCCCGGCACACGAGGAGAGGGGCAGCTGACCCCTACACGGGAGGAAATGGGTCACTAACCTGTACACATCGGTCTTGGTGGAGGCGCGGTGTGTGGTGATGAACTCCGGGTCCAGATATCCCCTCGTGCCTGACAGCCCATGTGTGAAGAAGCTCGCTTCTCCTCCTTCCAACATGCGGGATAGGCCGAAATCAGACAGCTTGGGCTGGGGGCAGGAAGGAGGGACAAGCGGGGCAAGGGAAGCAGGGGGTCAGAGGGACAAGGGGCCAAGGGAGAATATGGGGGAAAATAACTCCAGGTAGCCTCTTGTGCCTGACAGCCCGTGCGTGAAGAAGTTCGCTTCTCCTCCTTTCAACATGCGGGAGAGGCCAAAGTCAGACAGCTTCGGCTGATGGGAGGGAGTGGGGCGAGGGAGTGAATGAGAAAAGGAAAGGGAGGAGCAGGAAAGATGCACACTGGATTGACCCCCCTCTAGCACTTTATCAGAAATGCATTGGTTCTTCAAAAATTAATAACTGGCTGATAATTCGTAAGGTTGTATTGTTAGAATAATATTAGTGTAGTACCTGCAGCTCTGCAGTGAGAAGTATGTCGAGCGACTTGACGTCTCTGTGGAGCAGCAGGTTTTGAGACGTCTCAAGACCAGTAGCTCTGCTCGGTGCTATCTATGCCTCTGCTGTCTCTCACCTGCAGCTCGGCTGTGTCTAACCTGCAGCTCTGCTGTGTCTAACCTGCAGCTCTGCTGTGTCTAACCTGCAGCTCTGCTGTGTCTAACCTGCAGCTCTGCTGTATCTAACCTGCAGCTCGGCTGTGTCTAACCTGCAGCTCTGCTGTGTCTAACCTGCAGCTCTGCTGTGTCTAACCTGCAGCTCTGCTGTATCTAACCTGCAGCTCGGCTGTGTCTAACCTGCAGCTCTGCTGTGAGCAGAATGTTGAGCGACTTGACATCTCTGTGGAGCATGCGATCCCGTGCCTGCAACGGAGGAGAGGAACAGGGAATAGGGGCCGAGTTGAAATCTGAATCAACTCAGAAGGAATCAGCGCAAGCTGACCTCTTCGTGTATGTAGAGCAGCAGCTCATAGGCAACATCAAGGTGATTTTGAGTCGACTCAACAGGAAACAAGGTGAATTGACCTGCTAACTCTACACAAGCTGACCTGCTCGTGTATGTAGTGCAGAGCACGCGCGATGCCCAGTGCGATGTGGACACGTTGGAGAAAGGAAAGCGGTGGGCGGGAGAGGTCTGTGTGGGCGGGGAAAAGAGGGAAAGGTGGGGGGGTGGAGGGCACAGGAAGAGATGGCTGTAGTGTTTCAGAAGTTGTTTCTCTGTTGAACACCTCAAGACATGTCATGAATATACCACGCAGAGGCTCGTTGAGATAAATAGAGTGCCACTGAGAACGACTCATGTACACCAGCCGCTACGTTAGCCGCATCCACGATGGAGCAGCATGATAAGGTGCGTGAGAGACAAGGGGGGGGGCTACTGCGCCCACATGCCTAGACGTTTGAGAATTTGAAAAGATCATGCAGTGCGTGAGAGATGGAGAGATGTGGGGCCTATTGCATCCGCATGTGCACCAGACAGCCTCAAACTCGAACTGATTGTACTGGTGAGCACGAATCCATACACCAGTAGCTGCTCCCCTTGCTCCACACACCATCCTGTCATGCTCTGCCATTCCCATCACACACACTCTTTTCACCTCCAATCTCACATCACACGCACCATGCAGAGCTTCATAGAGGTTGCCATTAGGCACAAACTCGTACACCAGCAGCTGCTCCCCTTGCTCTGCACACCAGCCTCTGATGCACTTCCATCCCCATCACACACGCACTTCCTCTCCCACACACTTCCTTCACTTCTAAGCCAGTACGTACCATGCAGGGCTTCATAGAGGTTGCCGTTGGGCACAAACTCATACACCAGCAGCTGCTCTCCTTGCTCCGCACACCACCCAATGAGAGACACCAAACTGCGGTGGTTCAAACGCCAGATGGTCCGCACCTGGCGGGGGGAACCGCATGGAATCGCATGGAACACCATAGAACCGCATTTGAAAAAGTGGCTCACCAACAGAAACCGCACTGCTGGGTTGCTTTCTGGAAACTGTACACACGGTTAAGAGTGAAACAATGCTCCAGATTGCGAGATATGCCACACCCACGAACTCACCTCTCGCTCGAACGCCCCTCCTGGTCCCATGCTCCCCCTCTTCGCCCTCTTCACCGCCCACAACTCCTCAATTCGCTGCTCATCTTCCACCCCCTTCCTAGAAGCTGCTGCGTCCTTTCCTCTCCTGCTTGCTGACGTGGCACGTCGTAAATCAGCATCAGGAATGGCAAGTGAACGGTAGACTGTCCCAAAAGCCCCCTCTCCGATCTTATTCGCCTGAGAGAACCCGTCTGTTGCACTGCGTAGCTGAGCAAAGGTGAAGCGGCGAGGTGCATCGGAGGGGGAAGAGGCCAGGGTCAGTGAGATCTTGTTTCTGCTGGCGTGATTGTTGTGCTGCTGAGAGGCAGTCTCGGGGTCGGCATGAATTGTCCTGTTCCTAGCCCATTGCCACCAGCGCTGACTCGGCTTCTGCCAGAACCGTCCTTTTTCTCTTGTGCTTGATCCTCCCTGTCTCTCCTCCTCGTTGTTCTCCCTCCTCTCTCTCTGCTTCTGCTGATGCCGCAGGCAGAGGAAGATGGCTAGAAGTAGGAAGAGAGAAGAGAAGACGCTGCCAACAACCACAATGGCCAGCACACCCACCGACACTGTACCAACGCTGCTGCCACTGCTGTCACTGTCATTGTCACTGCTTCTGCTGTTGTCAGTGTCGTTGTTGGTGCTGCTGCTGGCCTCGTTTCTGCTGCCATTGCTGCTACCAGTGCTTAAATTGCCACCGCTTGTAACGTTGATACTACCTGTAACATTATTGCCACCTGTAACACTGCTGCTTGCAAAATTGCTGCTGCTGTTACTGCCGCTGCTGCTATTGCTGGTACCGTTACCCATGCCGCTGTTGCGCCCACTGCCACTAGAACCAGCCCCTATTCCTCTATTACTGCTGCTGTTTCTCCGGTTCCGAAGTTCTGCCACTCTGCTGCGAACATAGTCACGTGGGAAGCAGGGGCCTGAGATGCACCCTGAACCACACATAATGGGAGCGATGTCGCAGGCAGCAGCGGTGCAGCACACAGGGGGTTGTAACCGAGGCCCCCTAGGGTTACCACCACCACCAGTGGTACTACCATCAGCAGTGGCACCATCGACAGTGTTACCAGTACCAGCAGCACTGTTACCAGTGACGCTGTTACTGGTAACCGTGTTACCAGCGGTTTCGCAGGGGCCGGAGAGGCAGTCAGTGAGGCAGGCGGAGCCGAGGCCACAGCCGAAGGAGGAGGAGCAGCAGAGGTAGGGCGGACAGGCCTGGGCGGCACAGTGGCGCAGCTGAAGCAGGGAGCGGGAAGATTGGCGGAGAGGGGTGAGGGATGCATCGCTGCTACCAGTTGTGCCCGTAGAGGACGTTTGAATCAGCGAGGAGGTGATCAGGCTGTTATGAGAATTTTCAGAAATCTCTTGGGACGAGACCAGTACGGAGAGTGCTCCTAGAACGCAGCAGGCTAGGACAGGCAGGTGAAGCATGAATGACGTCATTGGCCTCATTTGACCCTAGTTTGACCCTTTTCAGTGTGATAAACTGCAGGTTGCGCATCCCAAGTCAAGCAAAACGATGAGGTTGGGAGGACGACACCAGTGTGGCGGGTTTTTTAATCTCAGCAGCAGGGAATTTTGTTGCGAAGGAGAAGAATGGAAAGTCGAGCACCTAGAATCAGGCGTGCTAAGCTCAAGAAAGTGTTCATGGATATGCCTGAAGAGCAGTTTCGTACATTCAACAATCTTGCCGCACGGCTAGTCGCGGCTCAAGAGGAAAGGAAGGCAATGGCTGACGCGTTCCTGCGACCGAATACGGTTCAGCAAGACAACCACGACGGCTAGATGTGTTCCTAGTTACTGTTTGCAGTCCCGCGACAGTAACAAGCGAGCGACGTCTCGATTTCCAGCGCGCATGAATCGCACGGGTCGCACAGTGACAGCGAGTAATGAGCATGTGTCGTTCAGTAAACCTGACACGTCACATGGCGTCACTCGTGACGGAATCTTCGAGGAGAAATCCGCGTAGCCGTCAGGTGGGAAAGTCAAGTGATGCCGGTAACGGCGTCTTCGCAGACTTGTCTTCGCCATGATTGGCTGGTTGGGGTATCAGTAGTATTGGATGAGGCTGTCCAGCCTCGACAGGCATCACAGCCGTGACAGCCATGACAGACATCAATGAATCCAGCCTGGCAAAGTGAGTTCCGAGGCGTAAGGAACTGACGATCGTTTTGATGGAACAGGTAGTGCCCTATCTCTTACCACCTGCTGCTGCAGCAGAGACCCTTTCGTAATCGCCACTAACGGATACCTGACAGACGGACCAGATTCACCTGTTCCTGTATGGACGGATGATAAAGATGCACAAATGGGATGCGAAATCCACTCTTCACAACAATCACGCATGCCAATCTGGAACCTGGGCTGGGGGTGGGGTGGAGGCGGAGTTCCCAAGGGTGCAGCGTGGGGGAGTTCTCGAGGTGGAGTTCAGCGAATTATCGAGGTGCAGTGTTGCCAAGTTATCAAATTTCAGACCCACAGATTCACGACATCCTCAACGAGATGTTACCAGACGAACGGTCTTCGTTACCATGCTGGTCGAAAGGCAGAGGGGAAGCGTCACGAGGACAAATTCCAATCTCCGAGCTCGCCTGAGTTCGTGTTTTCGTGGTCTCTTTCGCATACAGATGAATCGTATGCTTCGGTAGCAAATCTCTCGCGGCAATCTACAAGCCCCTGTGAATAGCTTATCTCCGCATTATTGGCCATGTTCACCTACCAGCCCTCTATTGCAAATGTAGAAACCTGATAACCGCTGTCTACCGAGTGAAACGAGTAGTGAACCGCATTGAACGATCCGTGGTCGCCAATTTCACTTCATTCTTCGAGTTCCCCACTCCGATTCTGTTCCACCCATTCGGCTCTGCTTTCATGAGTCAGGCGAGGTGACCCTCCATGAGTTAGCCGAAGGCATTCACAAGCAAGCGACGTGTGCGTGAATTTAGGAGCTGGATTCTCTCTTCTCCTTACTCGCCTGCACGGATAGGCCAGCATTTCTCTCCCCGTATAGTCATCGCATTTGTGCCATATAGCCACCCACAGATGACGTCGCTACAGCAAGCCGCGCAGTGACTGAAAAAGCAGCTCGAGCTCGCTTCGGCTTTGAGCGGATACCACCGCTCTTTCCGTAGGCCGTCAAGGAGAAGATTTTTGCGGATTCACGCCAATTAGGGTTGTCGTAAAGCTAACTCCGGGAATAAGTAAAAGTTACTTAGTCTGTTAAGAAAGTCGATGCGCTGGCTCCGAAAGCGAAGTCCCGCTCTGGGAAGGGTCGGGGAAGGGTCGAAAGAGTCCCTTCCCTTGTCATGGACGTGTACGTCAAGCTCCTCCGACGACCGTCGATTCGGTCCTTTCGGTTGGCTCTCAGCCGTGCGATGCAGTGGGGAGGATCCAAGGACGGGCGAACCTTGTTCCGTTACATTCTGTTGACTGTATTAGGGGTGATACTACTGAGATGGTGCTTTGGATGGCTGGCTCCGTTCCTACATTATAACGTCTACTATAAGTCCGTCTCGATCAGAAACGTGAACAGGACTTTCATGACTGACACGTGTCAGAACCTCATGAAGTTGCCGTATCGGCCATCCAATCCAGAATGGGGTAGGTTACTCACCCTCTTAAAACTCCACTCGCAGTATTTACCTTGAGAATTTGCATTACTTGCTGGCCACCGCTTCTTCTCATGCCACTGATTTCCCCGTGTATGCTGTTTTCTTCTGGAATACCCAGACCAAGCTTCTACCTTTTCCCTTCCCAACCTCCCTCGCTCTTCACCCCCGCTCACCCCATCATCATCAACCCCCGCGCCCTTTCCCCCAGTGCCCCCTCTGCTCTGCTCAGTGCCCGCCCCGCCCCGTCCCCCAATACCTCCCCATCTACCACCACCACTACCACTCTCCATGTTCTCCCCCAACCACCAAACCAACACCAGGGCGATTCACCCCCCACGGCGTGCACACTTTCGTCTTTATCTCAGCCCACCGCATCAGCCAGTTCAATTTCGACGTCATCTCCCAACACTACCACTGTCCCATCCTTCTCCCCCAACCACCAAACCAACGGCAGGTCGATTCACCCTGCACGGCGTGAACACGTTTGTCTTCATCCCAGCCCACCGCGTCAGCCCTCTCGACTTCGCAGTCATCGGCCTCTCACCCCACTCCATGCGCTCTTGATGCCCCCCTGCCCTCTCACAAAACCTGAACCCACTGCCAGGGCGATTCACCCCTCACGGAGTGAACACCTTTGTCTTCATCTCAGCCCACCGCGTCAGCCCTCTCGACTTCGCAGTCATTGGCCTCTCACACCGCTCTTGATGCCCCCCTGCCCTTCCAATGCCCCCGCTGCCCTCCCACAAAACCTGAACCCACTGCCAGGTCGATTCACCCCTCACGGAGTCAACACGTTTGTCTTCATCTCCGCCCACCGCGTTAGCCCTCTCGATTTCGCAGTCATAGGCCTTTCCGCCCGCGGGATGCGCTCCCAGTGGCGCTCACCCCAATCCAACGGCCCACATTCGTCCGCGGAGCAGGGAGGGGAGGAGGACGAGAGCGGGGGGTGCGTGTGGGTGTCGTATGAGGGGCCGCACACCATCAAGGGCAGCCTGGAGTATCTGTTTCCGGGCGACCATGGGGGCATGCCCTATGAGACCATTGTCATCCGCTGCAACCTCGATAAGCGCACCCCAGCTGACCCTGGTGAGTCACTGTGATGTGTAACCTGGGTATGGGAGGGAGAACACACCTTTATGTGTGCTCGCTCACCTGTGGTTTGGCCTGGTTTAGGATGGCACATGGTACATACTGGGAGGGCCCGCACACCATCAAGGGCAGCTTGGAGTATCTGTTTCCGGGCGACCATGGGGGCATGCCCTATGAGACCATTGTCATCCGCTGCAACCTAGACAAGCGCACCCCAGCCGACCCTGGTGAGTATCTCTCTGCTACGGTAGGCTCTCGAATCAGCATGTCCATGACTCCAATGCGACCGTTGCCCATTCTTGCTGGTGCTTGGTAACGTGAGCTGCTCCGCCCATTCTCACCTCTCACCTCCTCTCCCTCCCCGCACTTGCAGGCGGTGCTCTCTTTTACCACATATCAGGGAGGGACATGCTGGTGTACCGAGAGGAGGATAGCTCGTAAATGGGCTAGAGGCAGCTCATAATGTTACGTGTCTCCTCTCCCCTCTCCTTACCTGCAGGCGGTGCTCTCTTCTACCACATATCAGGGAGGGACATGCTGGTATACCGAGAAGACGACCTCAGAACCCCTTCCTCTCTTGCTGCTGCTGCTGCCGTGGGGAAAGGGAATTTGGAGGCGGAGGGGGCTGCTGCTGCCAAGCGGATTCTCAACCCGCCGCGGCCGTTGCCACACCACATCTCCTTCTGCTCGCTGCTCATTGACCGCGAGGTGAGGGGAGTGCAGGAGCTGTCGAAGTGGAAGAGGTGAGGGGAATGCAGGAGCTGTCGAAGTGGAAGAGGTGAGGGGAGTGTCTGGATAATGAATTGTTTCTTGAGTTGCTCATCCCCCAGGCAGGCACCACTGCTGCTCTTCGTTCGTTGCTCATCCCCCAGATTCTGCTCTGCTCGCTGCTCATCGACCACTGGGTGAGAACGTCACATCTTCATCAACCCACTACCTTGTACACACCCTCTTTCTGTCATCCGCTCGCCTATCCTCTACCTCTTTCCCCCCCTCCCCCACCCCTCACAGTACTCCCCAGCGCGAATCCTCGGGCGCATTCCGTACCTGCTGTTCTTCTCTTTCTGTCGTCTGCTCACCCATCCTCTTCCCCTCACCCCCGCCCCTCTCACAGCACACCCCAGCGCGAGTGCTAGAGCACATGCAGTACCTGCTGTTCTTCGGAGCAGATGACTTTATCTTCTCCACGCCCATCCTCTACCTCTCCCCCCTCCCACTCACTACCCCACTCACAGGACACCCCAGCACAAGTCCTCGAGCACATCCAATATCTGCTGCTCTTTGGAGCAGGCGACTTCATTCCACACCACACCGCCAACTCTCTCCGCCTCACCCCCCATCCCAGTTGTCCTTATGCCCCCTCCCCCACCTCTCTCACAGCACACCCCAGCGCGAGTGCTAGAGCACATGCAGTACCTGCTCTTCTTCGGAGCAGATGACTTTATCTTCTATGATGGAGGGGGGTTCACGAATCGCCTGCAGGATGCCGTGGCGAGGTTTACGGAAGCATACATGCTGCAGGTGGTGGACCTGCGGGGGCTAGCAGAGTGAGTATGGGGTGTTGAATGCGGTTGACTTGGGTTGACTTGGGTCGACCTGAATTGACTGGGGTTCACGAATCGCTTACGGGATGCCATGGCGAGGTTTACGGAAGCTGACATGCTGCAGGTCGTGGACCTACGAGGGATAGCAGAGTGAGTGCAGGGCTTGGGTTGACTTGGGTTGACTTGGGTTGACTTGGCCTGACTTGGGTTGACTTGGCCTGACTTGGGTTGACTTGGCCTGACTTGGGTTGACTTGGGTTGACCCGTGTTGACCCGTGTTGATTCCAGTTCTGGTGGCACTGCACTAAACTGTGGCTGCCTTAGAAAGCATATCAAAAGCTGTTGAATTTGATTAACATTGTTTCAAGAGTGCTCTTTCTTGATCTTGATCCGTTACTCCGTTGACATCCCGCCCTCAACACCCCTCCCTTCCTCCCATCCGTTACCCATCCTCCCATTCCAGCCCACCCGGCAGCACGCCACAACATGTGGTAACAATGGGACGACTGACTGCCTCGGCTGCAACACGCTTCACGGGTGCTCTGCTTGATCCATTTCCCCACTGCCATGTCCCTCCCTCCCCTCCCTTTCTCCCCCCAGCCTGCCAGCGCAACACAACGTGATAACAATGAACGACTGTCTCTACCGCACTCGATTCTCCTCCGACTGGGTCATCTCACTCGCCTTTGACGAGCTGCCTCACGTCGTCGGCCCCTTCCGCCTCTCCACCCTCCTCGCCTACCATGCCGGCCGCCCCTGGCTCTCCATGGGCTCCTACTCCTGGCACATCGAGCTGTGTCTGCCAATCACAGGTGTGTTTTCAAGTCAACTTAAGAATGTCGCCTCCCTTCCGCTTCTCCACCCTCCTCGCCTACCATACCAACCGCCCCTGGCACTCCATGGGCTCCTACTCCTGGCACATCGAGCTCTGCCTGCCCATCACAGGTGTGTGATGAGTCAACTCAAGAAGTGAGTGTTCGAGTCACACAGTGTGGGTCCTTCCTGCCCTTCCGCCTCTCCACCCTCCTGGCTTACCATGCCGGCCGCCCCTGGCTCTCCATGGGCTCCTACTCCTGGCACATCGAGCTCTGCCTGCCCATCACTGGTAGAATCTTCACCACGTAGACTGTTGTAAGTTCCCCCATTCGTCCTCCCATTCTTGGCACATCATCTCACAAATATGCTGTTTAGCACATAGACTGTTGTAAGTTATCCCATTCGTCCTCCCATTCTTGGCACATTGCCTCCCCATTACAGGTAGGCACATTGCCTCCCCATTACAGGTAGGCACATTGCCTCCCCAGCCCACGATTGCAAATAGTGTTTCTGACTGCACATCTTCCTCCTCGTGTCCTGACTACAGCGCCCGACCACTGGCTACAGCAGCGCATGGTGTTCAGATCCGTCCACCCCACATGCCATCTCAACAGCACCCGCCTCACAGCCCTCTCCTGCCTCTGCTCTTTCTTCTCCCCACCTCCCCTGCGTCTTAACCGCAGCGCCCGACCACTGGCTACAGCAGCGCATGGTGTTTAGATCTGTGCATCCCACATGCCATCCCAACAGCGCCACCATTACCCCCACCATCACCCCCACAATCATCACCACACCTCCTCCTCCCCCTCCCCCTCCTCTTGATTTGAATGGAACTTCTGCCAACACCACCGGCAACGCCACCACCAGCCCGCTAGCAGACGCAGCAGCAGCAGCAGGTGGCGGTGCAAACGCGAGTGTGACTGTAACAGAGGGGCCATCGGAGCCGCTGTTCTCAGGAGACCCCAACATGTGCCTTGGTGAAGCAGGCATGCGGCGAGTTATGTTCGATCCTCGCCAGGTGAGCAATTTTGCTTTGAGAAGCCCCAAAAGTGACCACTTAAGTCTTCTGTAACAGAGGGGCCATCGGAGCCACTGTTTTCAGGAGACCCCAACATGTGCCTTGGTGAAGCAGGCATGCGGCGAGTGATGTTCGATCCTCGACAGGTAGGCACTTGTTTAGGCAATTGGGCACTTCATGGGGTGCATTACATCTTGGTACACTGTGTTGCCATGTTGTCTCCTTTCCTGCAAGCCATGTTGTCCACTGTGCTACCTTTTGTCTCCTCCCTCCTTCTCCCTTTGCCTTCTCGCCCCCCCACCCCTCTCAGGTGCAAGCCATGGCGGAGCATTACTCTGCCATTCCCTTCCGAGGGGGAGTGGATCTAAACGCTTCTGTTATGCACACAAATAAGTACACTGTAAGTGCCTTTGTATCTGTACACATAGAATTCACATTAACCACCAGTAAGTACCCATGCTGCCTATGGCTTGGAGTGTAATATTTGGTAAGTACATCAGTCATTGGTAAGTATCCCTAAGCCCTTGCGCATTATATTACACCTACCCCCACACATACCATGTTGGATGTGGTTCGGGCTCCATGTTTCTATCTTCCCTTCCCACGCCTACAGGGATTGCTAGAGCCAGCAGCGCTGATCTGCGAGTATCACCTAATGAAGGGGTCAGAGCCGCGCAGCTACAAGAGGAAGATGCACGTAGCCAAGCTCATCCGCCAGGGAAGACAGGCGGGCTTGATATCTCTGCCTGTTAGAGATTAGTGCTTATTAATCAAACGTCCCAGCGGAGATGTGACGGGCTTGGTACATGGCACAATGAATAAATCAAAGCTCTTAGTTGAGCTGCATGTAATGAGCAATCGCAGTGAGAGGTCACGAACTACGGTGAAAAGCAATACGGTAGGTTATTGCGCTTGCAATATTTATCAACATTTGGACAACTGAAATACTCATAACAACCAATTGACACATCCCTAAACAAAAACGGCTCAGGTGCTTCATTTGTGCAGTCTGCAGCTAGTAACCATCATCTATCTGTAGTGACCTGCTTTGAGTTGTCTTGAGTGACGTCATGACTTCTAGATGCTTAACAACCAATGCGAGCATCAGGAAGGAGAGTCTATGCCGTCTGCAGATTGCGAGCCGTTGCTGCTTTGAGTGACCGCACGAGAGTGCCCAACTTTGCCAATCCCTCCTCCGCTGTGTCACTGCCCCCCAGCAGCTTCAAGGAGGAGAGCTTTATGCCCTCTGCAGGTTGCGGGCCGTTGCTGCTTTCAGCGAGCGCATGAGAGTGCCGACCTTTGCCAGTCCCTCCTCTGCCGTCTCGCTTCCCCCCAGCAGCTTCACCAGCGCTGACCCCACGATCACTCCGTCCGCTCCCCATGACATCACCTGGTGGGGGAAAGCGGGAGATGAGAAGAGGCGGATTGGAAGAGGCGGGTTGGGAACAGTGGTAAGGCATGAGCTTATGCATTCACTGTACCTAGTCGTTCATTCACCATCTCATCCCGTCCTTGCATGTGCACACCTACTCGGCATGGCCACGGTCACTGCCTGCTGCTTGCTTGCCCATCCATCCTGGCATTAGATTCGCCTGCTGTGTGCACCTGCTCGGCATGCTCAGGTGCAGAGATGCCAAAGCCCACAGCAACAGGCTTGTCTGTAGTGCCCTTGATCTCCCTCAGTAGCTGTTCCACCCGCCCCTGCACTGCCTGCTGACTCAACTCACTCCATTCATTCGTTCATCACATAAGTGCACCTGAGCGTGCTCTATTGGAGTTACTTTTGAGAATTCTCAAAAGTAAAACCTGAGCGTGCTCAAGTGCAGGGATCCCAAAGCCCACAGCAACTGGCTTGTCTGTGGCGTGGCGGCCTTGATCTCCCTCACTTGATGCTGCTGCTGCACTGCACCCGCCCCTGCACTGCTTGTTGAGTCGACTCAATCCATTCATCCCACGCACCTGCACTCATTCACTCATTCATCACACGCACCTGCACTCATTCACTCATTCAACACACGCACCTGCACTCATTCACTCATTCATCACACGCACCTGCACTCATTCACTCATTCTACACACGCACCTGCACTCATTCACTCATTCATCACACGCACCTGCTCGGCATGCTCAGGCGCAGAAATGCCAAAGCCCACAGCGACTGGCTTGTCTGTGGATGCTTTGATGTCCTTGAGTAGCTGCTCCACCCGCCCCTGCACTGCCTGCCGCTCGCCCGTCACTCCCGTTAGACTCACCTGCGATACAGTCACGCATGAACACACATAAACACAGTCACGAATGTACACATGCACAGATGCAATGACAATGGAAATTAAACAGGGTGTCTGGTGTCTACGCAGTGTTGGAGGATACTAGGAGATTGGATCAGGGAGAGGGAGGAACCAGACAGGCATCATATTTGAGGCGTCTAAGATTTCGTGTCATGACTCGCGGTTTTGAGGCGCCTAAAAAAACAATGTTGGAGGATACTAGGAGATTGGATCAGGGAGGAGGGAGGAACTAGACAGGCGTCACATCACACACAAAAGCGAGGGGGCGAGGGAGACGTTGAGGAGAGAAGAGAATTCAGGGAGGGGAGAAGGGGCAGAGGAGGAGGGGCAGAGGAAGAGGGGCAGAGGAGGAGGGGCAGAAGAGAAGGTGTGGAGGAGAAGGGGCGGAGGAGAAGGGGCGAAGGAGAAGAGGCGGAGAAGGGGCGGAGGAGAAGGGGCAGAGGAGAAGGGGCAGAGGAAGAGGGGCAGAAGAGAAGGTGTGGAGGAGAAGGGGCGGAGGAGAAGGGGCGAAGGAGAAGAGGCGGAGAAGGGGCGGAGGAGAAGGGGCAGAGGAGAAGGGGCGGAGGAGAAGGGGCAGAGGAGAAGGGGCGGAGGAGAAGGGCCAGAGGAGAAGGGGCGGAGGGAGAAGGGGGGGAGGAGAAGGGGCGGAGGAAAAGGGGCGGAGGGAGAAGGGGCGGAGGAGAAAGAAGGCACGGCAGCAAGGCGGCTGCTTACAAGGTAAAGGAAGCCCTGGGTGACGTCAGCAATGGCTCCCATTCTCTCGGTGGGGGTGGTGGGCGTTGTTAGCAGCACCTGTGGGGAGAGGGGAGAGAAGGGGGGAGGAAGAGGGGGGAGAGGGGAGAGAAGGGGGGAGGAAGAGGGGGGAGAGGGGAGAGAAGGGGGGAGGAAGAGGGGGGAGAGGGGAGAGAAGGGGGGAGGAAGAGGGGGGAGAGGGAGTGAGAGGGGAATGGCGTTAGCAGTGCCTGCCAGTAATTCATGTCCACCTCTCTGTTTCATGAGTCCACTGAATATGTCACTGCAAGCCGCTCACCAGCAATCGAATGATCACCAGCAATCGAATGATCACCAGTTCGAGCCCATTGGCAGTAGAAACCTCCCACAGCACCTTGGTTTCCTCCAGTGGCACGTACGGCACCACTATGGGACATGACAGCTGCTACACCAGTACCATACTCGAGCTCCCAGACGCCTCAACACCCGTACATGCCACACCAACCACCACCAGATGCTCACCAGTTCCAGCCCGTTTGCAGTAGCAACCTCTCGCAGTACTTTAGTCTCCTCCAGAGGCACGTCCGGCACCACTACGCCCGTTGCTAGTCGTTTCCAGTGCGAGGCGATTACTGCAAGCCACCCACCAACCACCAGATTCTCACCAGTTCGAGCCCGTTGGCTGTGGCAACTTCCTGCAGCACCTTGGTCTCCTCCAGAGGTACGTCCGGCACCACTATGCCTGCCGCCACTCCTCCTCACCCATCCTCACCAGACACGACCCCACGCTCACCAGTTCTAGTCCGTTGGCGGTGGCAACCTCTCGCAGCACCTTGGTCTCTTCCAGAGGCACGTCCGGCACCACTATGCCTGCCGCCCCCGCGGCTTTAATCTCCCCCATGAACTTGTTGACGCCGCGCTTCATGATGGGGTTGTAGTAGGTGAAGAGAACTATGGGCGCGCTCAGGGAGGGGGTGACCTGAGGGGACATGGGTCAAGGGGGGAAGACGGGGGGTGTGGTGGCTTCATCTCCCCCATGCACTTGTTGACGCCGCGCTTCATGATGGGGTTGTAGTAGGTGAAAAGGACTATGGGCGCGCTCAGGGAGGGGGTGGGTGACCTGGAGAGAGGGGGGTAGCGGGGTGAAGAGGGGGGTTGATTGCTATGCCATTGATCTCCCCCATAAACTTGTTAACTCCGCGCTTTATGATGGGATTGTAGTAGGTGAAAAGGACTATAGGCGCGCTCAGGGAGGGGGTGACCTGGAGCAGGGGGATGGGGGGAGGATGAGGAGGAGGGGGATCGGAAAACAGGGGGGTGGAGGGTTGTTCTAGCTCTCCCCCATGAACTTCTCAGCGCCGCGTTTTTGTGATGGGGTTGCAGTAGGTGAAGAGGAGAAGTGGCGTGGTGGTGGGTGAGCGAGAGAGGTTCACCTTTTGAGGCGCCTCATGGCTTCAAAAGAGGAGAGTGGAGGAGAGTAGGGGAGAGTAGAGGAGAGTAGAGGAGAGTAGAGGAGAGTAGGGGAGAGAGAGAAGGACGGCATACCCGTTTGAGGAGGTCTATGACTGACTGTAGGTCCGTGTGGTTCGCCAGGGCTCGGGTGGCAGATGCCTGCGATATAAGAGCAACAAACAAACAAACACAACCGTATAATCACACTCGGTAGGTCGCCATTTCGTTCTAATCACACTAATACTATCACCGCACACACAAAAAAATACGGTTCTGTTGGGGTTCCCTTCTTGCATGAGCATGAGATGCCTTAAGCCAGCTAGAAATCTATACTAATACACTCTGTCACGTTGCAGTTACCGGGCGAACTGCTAATAACGGGGACGGAGTGTACCTGGATGACGGGCCCGTCAGCAAGCGGGTCCGAGTAGGGCACGCCCAGCTCGATGACGTCAGCGCCCGTTTCGCACAGCAGCTTCAGCGCGCGCTCCGTGGTGGCCAGATCGGGGTCCCCCGCGACTATAAAGGGGATCAGCGCCACCTGCGGGGGAGCGGGTGAACAGCAAATGCGGGCTGAGGGGCTCGTGCGACCAATGCGCTACGTGGTGCTTATAGCGGGGTTCCAGCGACTATAACGGGGAAGAGAAAAATGGACAGGAAGGTGGGAGGAGTTGAGGAACGGGTGGGTTGATTGGGAGAGGGTCAAGTCGAAAGGAACGGAGTTAAAAGCTCAAAGCGCGTTGCGTCCAAGACGTAGATAGATGGCACCAAGTGGAATGGCGAAAAGAAATCAATTCCACCCTATATCGAAACAGCCAGTTGCAATTGAGGTAGTCAAACTGACCGTTTTGGTAAAGCGAGGTGACTATACCCGAAACCCTCGTCAAACTGCGAAACTGTCTACTCACTTCATTCTTCGCGCGAAGCTCTGCGAACTTCTCCGAAACGCTCTGCGACGAGCACGTTGTCGCCAACGCACCGCCTCGTCTGTGGCCGCTGCTAGCGCGGGAAACAGCCACTGGAAGCGGCTGTCCTACCAGACTCGACGAGGCCGACTTAATCTTCTTCGCACCGCCGAATGCGGCTGAAACGACACGTGGACAACAAGAGAGTTCACCAGAACCAGCGTTTTGCGCAGTAGGAAGCGCTGTAAGGCCTCTGTGGGCTGACGTCATTGTCGACATTTTCAGCGCTGACGTGGCAGCAGCGAAAGGGGTAGGTGCGATCACAGAGTAGAGAAACACAATATTCCAACGGGAACCCCTTCGACTTCCCACGTGGCAAGCAGCGACCCGTGCCTGCGAATCGCAATCGCAGCTCGGCCTTGGAAATACCGACACTCTGCTGATCTTATCAGCAAACCTGGGATTGTCGCGGAATGGCTGAAACTTGAAAATGAGAATCTCGAGCATGGTGCTGATGATTGCTCTCAAGCCTCATACTCGATACAGCATGAGCCGGTTAATGTGTTAGCATCGGTATCCTGAACCGAGAAGGATATGGCTGTCGCCCTCTGGAAATGGTTTGACTCTTGTAGCGGGAAACCTTGGGAATTGGGTGAGACTTGAGTTGCAAGCCTACGTAAAAAAATTACATGCGTGTACTACTTCTGTTGCATGTTTGAAGGGTAGAACCAGGCTATACGGTATGACAAAAGGGGATCTCAATAAGGGAACAGCTTTACAAATGGTCCCTGGCAGGGACTCTATGACTGAGCTGCCAGGAAGGAATTCTCCAACTCAGTTGCCCTTCCTAAAAATCCCAACCACACCAGCAATCCCTGGCTTCCTCACACCAATCTACCAACATTCATCCACCGCCAATATGCGTTTCAGCGTCGCTCAGGAGTCAGGACCGATGCAAATTTAATACCGAATCGCGAACTCCGCCATGCCAATCACTCCATCTCCTCGGCAAAACACATTTCTTTTGCAGCTTGATATAATTAATTTCGGATGTGTCATTACCTCAAGACGTCTACACTGCACCATTCTGTCTCAAAACGCTTGGATTGGGTCGTTTCTCTGCCACACTCCCTCCTCGTCCTCTTCCTCCTCACTCTCCTCTCCCTTCCTCCCCCCTTCCTCCCCCTCCGCAATCGGAGGAGCTACTTTCCTCACTGCTCGTCTCCCCCCCATACCCTGAAACTCAAATTCAGGCTTCTCACCCTCACCCTCCCCACCCTCTCCATTCCCTCCCGCTCCGCCCCCCTCCCTCTGAGCATGGAGCCTCGCATTCACAATGCTACGTCTCCTGCTGTTCATCCTACCACGCCCCCCGCCGAACCCTCCTCTCCCCACCCCACCACCCGACCCCGCTCCTATCCCCCCCACATTCCCATCCCCGTACCCCCCAGCCATCTCACCCCCAGCAGCGCTAACACTGCTGCTGTTGCTGCCGCTGCTGCCTATGCCAATACTGCTGCTGCTTCCGCTGGTGTCTGTGCCGCTGCTGGTGCCGGTGCTGGTGCTGCTGGCACTGCTGATGTTGGTGGCTAAACCAGCCCCACCACCAGCGCCAGCACCAGCACCAGTAGCCACAGAACCCACAGGAGAAAGAGGGGGGGCTCCCCTCCCCCCAATTCCTCCCCTGCCCCTACCTCTGATCCTCCTACTGAAAGCACTCGGTGCATATTTCAGAGGGCTTAAAGCCGGTGCCGCTGTGTCTTCGTCCCGCAACCAAGAATCGTTACCCGCCGCTGCTTCCCCACCTCCCCCTCCACTACCACCACCACTGCCACCCCTCTCACGTGCTAATCGCTCCTCCTCCTGCCTTGCCCGCTCAAAAAACGCCTCCTCTTCAGTTGAAGCTGGCTTGAGGATCGGAGATCGAATCCCACCCCTGGCAGTGGCACCCACCCCTGCTTCCTCGCTCCTTGCCCCACCCCTCTCATACGAGCTCGTTTTGCGAATAGCATCCCCAGAGTCAACCCTTTCCCTGTTACTCCCCCTCGCATCAAATCCCCTCCTGCCCTCCTCCCACTCTCTCGGATCCTCCCCACTCAGCCGCCCACTGCTGCTGCCCTCACTCCCCTCACCGCCTCTCACATACCTTTGATCAGATGAATCCTCAGACAAACCCCTTGGTATTCCATCATAGTTACTCATGGGATAGCCTTTCAGCACATGCTCTAGCAACGGGGAGGGTGGGGTGCCGGGTTGATTATCCCGCCCCTCTCTCCCCTCCCTATGTCCCTCTCCCTTGTCTTTTTTCAGGTTCAGCCGGAGCAGGTTCGGGATAACTTTCCCGCCCTTGTGCGGGTGCCGGGACGAGGCTTCCGAGGCTGAGCTGGAGGTTGGGAAGGCGCTGCCCCCGGCGCTGCCGCGCAGGATCGGAGGTGACATCAGCACCGCAGCAAGTGAGGATCGGAAGCTCGAACCACCCTCTCTTCCAATAGACCTGCCGTCTGCATGAATGTCAGGAGAAGCAGAGAGGTCAGGCGAGGCCGACCCCTCCGCCTGCTGCTGCTGTTGACCCATCCCAGAGGAGTGACGGGGAGACCAGATTCGGTCATGGGAAGGGGAGGAGTGGCGGTCAAACAATCGCCTTTCCATGGAATTTCGTTCCATTGACCCTCGATCCCGATCCAAACCTCCCCGCTCCTGCGGGTTCCTTCTCTCCATTGAGTTGGTTGGGGAGACCCGATCCAGCATCATCAGGCTCGGGGACTGCCGATCCATGGACTGGCTCGGCGAGCTGCTGATTGAGCCTGACGACAGGCTCGGTTGGGACTGTAGCTCTGAGAAAGAACCCATGCTGCTACCACCGGCAGCAGCCACTGCAGCAGCTGCTGCTGCAGCAGTGCTATTACCTGCTGATCCTGATTTACCAGGAGAGGCGTGCCGGCGAGAGAGAGGGGAGAGGGAGCGCTTTAGCCGAGCCAGAGGGGACTTTGACCGTTCCTTCTTCCCAGCTCCACCACCAGAAGCAGCACCAGCAGCAGCAGCAGGAGCAGCGTCGGTTGGAGAGGAAGAGGGAAGTGAGGCGTAAGCAGAGGAGGGTGAGCGGGGGGCTTGCCGGGGGGATGGTCTCGGAGGGGGGAAGCCAGAGGAGGTGTCTGGGGAGGAGGAGTCAACAGGGTCTTCGTGTCCAAAGGAGGAGGTTGTAGCCAGGTAGAAGGCAGCAGCAGAGGGAGATAGAGACGTAATGGCACCACCTCCTCCCGTTGCTTCTCCGCCTTCTCCTTGGTTATACAGTTCCTCTTCGGCCTCCTCGTCCCATTCCTCCTCCTCTTCATATTCGTAATCATGGTCCCATCCGCCCCTGCCGTCGCCCCTGCCATTGTCCCGGCCACCAGCAGCACCACCATACTCATCATGTGCGTTACCTTCGTATTCATCCTCGTCATCGTAATACTGGTTTCGTGATGCCGACGGTGCTGCCTGCTGCTGTTGCTTCTGCTTCTGCTGCTGCTTCTGCTGCTGCTGCTGTGGCTGTTGTTGTTGCTGCTGCCGCTGCTGCTGCTGCTGCCACTGTTTCTGCCGTGCCGCAAACAGCCCTCCGGATGGCATTTGAGAGGGAGAGGGCAGCTCGTGTTGCGGAGCATCAAAGTCCAAACTGCCTCCCCCTACCACCCCTCTCTGCTCCTGCCTTCCTTGCCCCGCCCCAAAGGCGAGTTCCTGGTGAGAGGCATCGAAATCTATACTCCCTTCCTCCATCCTCCCTCTGTATCTCTCACTCTCCACCTCCTCTTCATACTCTTCTTCTTCCTCCTCCTCCTCCTCCTCGTCCTCCTCCTCCTCGTCGTCCTCCTCCTCCTCTTCCTCCTCTTCCTCATACCTTTCTTGCAAGCCTGCATAGCGGCTTGCTTGAGGGCGAGTGCTGGTGTTGGCAGCGCGAGAAGAGGGCGAGAGGGAGTGAGACAAGCGGGACGCAGAGGCAGGAGAAGAGGCACGGTCTGTGTTCCCAGCCCCTGCTCGACCCTTCCTACCAGCTGCTGCTATTCGCCTCTCCTGCTCCTGCTGCTGCTGCAACTGCTGCTGCTGCAGCTGCCATTGCTGCTCCTCCTCCGCCTCCTCCTCCTCTCGCTGCCGCTTCTCCTGCTGCAGCTGCCGCTGCAAATGCTCCTGCAACTCCTGCTGCCGCTGCCGCTCCTGCTGCTCCTGCAGCTCCTGCTGCTTCTTCTTCGCGTCTCTCTCCTTCTTCTTACCTGCCTTCTCCTTCCCCCCAGCAGCAGCAGCAGCAGCCGCAGAAGATCCATCCCTAAACAGCCCCTCCTCCTCCTCGTCCCCCTCCCACACTGCCACCTGCGGCTGGGCGGTCTGCCCCGCCTTCTTCCCACTCTTCTTCCCGCTCTCCTTCTCCCCAGCTTTCCGCCTCTCGCCCTTAGCAGGCGATGACGATGTGCCAGAGGACGAGCGGGAGGCGGATGAAGCTGCACTCACAGTCCTTCCCAGCCCCTCCTCCTCCTCCTCCGCTCCCCCAGCCCCCTGCTGCGCCGCACCCTTCTTTGCAACTTTCTTCCCAGCCTTCTTCGCTTCCCCGGTTTGCTTCTTCTTTCCTGTTCCTCCCTCCCCTGCTGCCCTCTCGCCTTTCTCCCCTTCAGCATTTCCCTGCTGGGACCCTTTCTTCCCAGCCTTCCCCTTCTTGCCTTCCTTTCCCGAAGCAGCTGTTTCAGACAACGAACCCGCACCCAGCCACTGCTCCTCCTCTGCTTCTCCCTCCCATCGCTCCCCTCTCTCTCCTCGCTCCCCTCTACCAGCGCCCACGCTCTCGTCCCAGTGAACATGCATCTGCCGCTGCTGCCGCCCCACACCAGGCGACTTCTGAGCCCCCTCATACATACCAGGAGCAACCCCCCCTGCTCCCCGCGCCTTCTGAGCCGAATCAAAAGAGGACTTCTGACCAGATGCATACAGGTCAGAGGTGGTAGATTCAGACGCCACACGATGCAGTGCAGCCTTCTTACCGCTCTTCTTCTTCCCCGCGGCATCAGCACCCGCTGACTTGGACATTTTATCAAGGCGGGATGTGGGTGCAGTGGCTGCTCGGGCCATTGCTCTCACAGGCACCACGGGCACTTCCTCTTCTTCTTCCTCTTCTGCATACTCCTCATCTCCTTCATACTCCTCGCCTTCATATTCCTCCTCGCCATCCTCCTGTGAGTGATGCTGGTCCCAAGTCACTTGCTGCTTTGGCTTCTGCACCTGCCTCTGCTGCTCATTCTGGTGCTCCTGCTCCCACTTTTCCTGCTCCAGTTGCTCCTGTTCCCACGCCTCCTGCTCCGCTTGCTGCCTCTGCCATTCATCCTGCGCCAATGACTGCTTGATCCCGCCTGTGCCCTCCTTTCTGCTCGCCTGCCCAGCCTTCACGACCGGCTCATATTGCTCCTCCTCTCCCTCTTCCCCCTCCCACTCCTCCTCGCCCTCTTCCCCTTCCCATTCCTCCTCTCCCTCCTCCCAGCCCTCGCCCTCTTCCCACTCCTCCTCCCCTTCCTCCCAACCCTCTCCCTCGTCTGCCATACGCATGTATTCCGCTCTTCCCTTCCTCCCCACCTCCATCCCTCCTTCCATCCCCTCCACCGCCCCCTCTTCCCTCCTCCCATCCATCCTCCCGTCACCCCTCCCATCCGCCCTCCCCTCTCCTCTCCCCTCCGCCCTCCTACCTGTCCTCTCCTCCACCCTCCCTCCCATCCCTGCATCCGCTCTCCCTGCCGCTCCCCGACCAGAGGCTATCGGTACCACAGGAGGGGGGGTGGCAGAGCGGGGAGGCGGGGTGGCAGAGCGAGGAGTGAGGGTGGCAGAGCGGGGAGGGGGGGTGGCAGAGCGGGGGGTGGGCACAGCAACGGCCCTCACCATGTCCTCATCCTCCGCATTCTCCTCCCACAACGGCCGAGCCTTCGTTCCTCCTCTCTCTCCCTTCGCTCCTCCCCCTCCCCCACCCCCTCCCCCTCCTCTCGCTCCCCCTCCCCCTCCTTTTCCTGCTTTCCCTTCTCGTCCTTCTCTCGCATCTCGCCCGTCTCTCTCCTCCCGCCCCTCTGCCCACTTCGCTGCGTCCAACCGCTGCATGCGAGCGTCTCGCCTTCCTTGCACATCGCGCCCTTCTCTTCTTTCCCCCCGCTCTCCCCGCTCTCCCCGCTCCCCATCCCCTCGCGCTCCTCGCTCGTCTGCCCATTTCGCTGCGTCCAATCGCTGCATACGAGCTCCTCGCGGCGTTACCGCTTGCACCGACGAGCGTGACCCCCCCCCATTGCCCCCAGCAGCACTGCCAGCAGCACCAATGCCCCCAACGTTACCAGCAGCAGCAATGCCCCCAACGTTACCAGCAGCAGCAATGCCCCCAACGTTACCAGCAGCAGCAATGCCCCCAACGTTACCAGCAGCAGCAATGCCCCCAACGTTACCAGCAGCAGCAATGCCCCCAACGTTACCAGCAGCAGCAATGCCCCCAACGTTACCAGCAGCAGCAATGCCCCCAACGTTACCAGCAGCAGCAATGCCCCCAACGTTACCAGCAGCAGGGGCAGACGAAGCAGCGGTGACAGCACGAACCAGACTCTCATCATCAGAGTCCTCCCACAGAGGCTGCACCTTCTTCTGCCCTCCACCTGCCCCTCTCCCCCCTTCGCCAGCCCCTCTACCCCCACCACTAGCACCTCTACCCCCCCCTCCACCACCTCTTCCCCCTCCTCCACCACCTCTCCCACCCCCACCAGCACCTGCAGCGCCCCCAGTCCCTCTGGTTACCACGCCCACCCCAGCAGCTGTAACAGCTGCAGCAACGGTGGTAGCAGATGCGGTTACCGCGCGAACCAGCGACTCATCGTCGGAATCTTCCTCCCAGAGCATTTTCTTCTTCCCTCCCTCCTCCCCGGCCCCCTCCTGCTCTCCCTTGCTCCCAACCCCGTCCTTACTCACAGGTAGAGTCACAGACCTCACTAAATCCTCATCGTCTGTATCCTCTTCCCATAAGGGTTTCACCGGTTTTCCTTTCCGCTCTTTCTCCGACCCTCCACGCATCATCATCCTCCCTCCTTTCTCTCTCGCCTGCACCTGCTCTCTTCTCCCCACTCCTCCCCTCTCGCCTCCCTCCTTCCCGTCCCCCCCTCTCTCCTCTTGGCAGGTCGACAGCGCCGATCTCACTAGATCTTGCTCGTCTGTATCCTCCTCCCAAAGCGGCTTCACCTTTCCTGGAACCTTCCCCGCACCAGCCCCACCAGCCCCACCACCAGCGCTTTTCACAGCAGGCGCTGCAGCACCACCCTTAGCGCCCGCCTGCTTGCCTCCCTTAACAAAAGGCATTTTCAGAACTCCCCCTCCTTTCCCCCCTCCTCCCCCTCCTCCTCCTCCTCCTCCTCCTCTTATCGCCCGCAGAGCAGCTGCAGCAGAGTCCCTCCCGTCTCCCCCCATCGCAGCAGCCAGGACAGCAGCAGAGGCAGAAGATGACCTAAAGGGGGACGCGGAGGGGGCAACGGAGGAGGAGGAGGAAGAGGAGAGGAGGGAGGAGGAGAGAGACGACTGGGAGAGTAGCAGCGGTGAGCTGCCAATCCCGTCCGTGGGGCTACAGCTTGTCGTCCGCTTCGCTTTAAATATCCCCGTTACAAGCACTTGCCGCGGCTCGCCCGATTTCGCCTGGGCTTTCTCTGCCTGAGCGGCCGCCAAAGCAGCGGCTTTCTTCGATCGGATCTGCGTGGTATTGGACGGATCAGATGCGACAAGGAGCGAGAGGCCTTCGAGGGAGTCGATGAGGGTGGCACTGACGGCGTCCTTTTGCGCGTGGAAGAGCGTTTGGACTCGCAGCACGTGGCTGCTCGATGTGACAGAGGTTTTCCGGATGGAATTGAGCTCGGAAAAGGTGATGGTGTTGCGAGCGAGGGTTGGGAGAAACTCCATCCCCCACTTGAGTTTCCGCTCCCACGGTGCTTCCGCTTCCTCCTCATCATCTCCTTCCTTCTCTCCCTTCCCTCCCCCCTTAACCCGTGCTGTGCCCGCTCCTCCCGCTCCTCCCCCCTTGCTCCCGAGCCACACAAACCCGTCCTCGTCTTCATCCGAGTCTGAGGAGGCGGCTCGGGGGAGGCCGGCTCGGCGCCGAGCCTCCTCCTCCTGCTCGCGCTTCTGCTGCTCCTCCTTCATGACTGGGACGAGGCGGCCTGCTAGGATGGTGCGCATGTCGTTTGTCAGCATGCCAAACAGCTCGTCTCTGGGAGGCAAGGGGGACAGGGAGAAGGGAGGCAGTGAGACGGGGAGAGGGACTGTGCGCACGTCGTTGGGCGTTGGTCGGCATGCCAAACAGCTCGTCCCTGTGTGGGCGGGGGGGAAGGACGGGGGAAGGGGGGTAGGGTCCCGTAGGGAGCGGGAGGTTAGTTTCTTCAATTGACTTGAAGGCCACTGACAAGGACACTGGTGAGCTGTTATGAAGCATCTGGTTGATCTATCCTCGTTATAGTCAGATACCTGGTGGTGCCGCCAGCAGCCATGAAGGGGTACTTCATGAGCTTCTCTGCAAGCAGTATGATGCATAAGGCAGTGCCAGGCCCCAGACTATGCCGCATAAGGGAGGGAGGGGAAGAAGGTACCTGGTGCCGCCGCCAGCAGCCATGAAGGGGTACTTCATGAGCTTCTCTGCGAGCAGTATGATGCATAAGGCAGTGCCAGGCCCCAGACTATGCCGCATAAGGGAGGGAGGGGAAGAAGGTACCTGGTGCCGCCGCCAGCAGCCATGAAGGGGTACTTCATGAGCTTCTCTGCGAGCAGTATGATGCGCGCATAGCGCAGCGCCAGGCACTCTCAATGGCCCACACACATTCCCTCTCCATGCCCCACTACCTCCATGCCCCACAGCCAGTCAAGGAGGGAAGGAGAGCGAGCAAAAGGGCTACCTAGTGGTGCCGCCAGCAGCCATGAAGGGGTACTTCATGAGCTTCTCTGCGAGCAGGATGATGCGTGCATAGCGCAGCGCCAGGCCCGCCGAACCCAGTGTCTCGTTCTCTGACACGCTCTCATCGGAGTGGGCATCGATCCCGAACACTGAGAGCACGCGGTCTCGGATCATGAAGATGGTTAGCACGAGGATCTGGGTTGTGGGGAGCGGGGGAGGCATGGGGGGAGGGAGGGGAGAGGAGGAGAAAGTTGGAGGACTGAAGGGGAGAGTGTTCTCCGACACGCTCTCATCCGAGTGTGCGTTGATGCCAAAGACAGGGAGCACACGGTCTCGGATCATGAAGATGGTTAAAACGAGGATCTGATGGCGTGTGTGGGGGAGTGAGGGAGGGAAGGGGGAGGTTGAGACGTTTCGTTACAATCACCTCTGTGAAATTCCACTGACACACTAAAGTCCCTCCCAAGATAATCCCGCCCACCCTAATCCGAACCACCCCTGATCCCACCCACCCTGACAACGTGGTCCAGCTCCACTGCCCAGAGGGCCCTCGCCTGCAGCTCTCTCTTGATCGTCCCTGTCACTACAGTCACACCTACCCTCCTCCCATTCAGCCCCCTCCCACCCGCCCTCCTCCCATACGCCCTCGTGCCACCCACCCTGACAACGTGGTCCAGCTCCACTGCCCAGAGGGTCCTGGCCTGCAGCTCTGTGAGTCGAGTCATCTGCGAGAGAGAGGTCGACAACAGAGAGGAGAGGAACAGGAGGGCGGGGAAAGGGGTGGGAAAGCGGGGGAAGGGGTTTCAGTCGACTCAACAAGCAGCTCTGTTTGCCGAGTTGTTAAAGAGAGAGGACGAGAAGGGAGCAGGAACGTGGGTGGGGCAGGGCAGGGAAGACGGAAGAGTGAGACCAAGCACAGGCTTGCTGCAATTAGACCAAGCACAGGCTTGCTGCAATTAGACTCGCTCTGGACACAACAGACTCGCTCTGGACACAACAGACTCGCTCTCGACACATCAGACTCGCTCTGGACACAACAGACTCGCTCTCGACACATCAGACTCGCTCTGGACACATCAGACTCGCTCTGGACACATCAGACTCGCTCTCGACACATCAGACTCGCTCTGGACACAACAGACTCGCTCTGGACACAACAGACTCGCTCTGGACACAACAGACTCGCTCTGGACACAACAGACTCGCTCTGGACACAACAGACTCGCTCTGGACACAACAGACTCGCTCTGGACACAACAGACTCGCTCTGGACACAACAGCCTCGCTCTGGACACAACAGACTCGCTCTGGACACAACAGACTCGCTGGAAGCAGCAACTGACTAACCAGTCGGAAGATCTCCTCCCCTCCGGGGAGGTCGCAGGGCAGGTTGGTCCTGGCCATGCCCAGCTGCCCCAGCACCGCATCGTCAAACGAGTCACTCATCTCCCGCAGCAGCGAGCTGTTCCCACTGCCGCTACTGCTGCTGCTGCTGCCGCTGCAGCTGCTTCTTGTGTTGCTGCTCGCCTTGCTGCTACTGCTGGGTCTGGGTGAGAGGCGAGCACAGAAGAACTGGGATTTGGGCTCAGGGAACAGGTTGGAGGAGGCAGAGGTGTGGGGAACATGCAAAGGCATGGCAGAGCAAGGCATGTGCAGCAAGGAGAGGCATGCATGCATGGGAGGACGCACTGGGGGGGGTCAGTGTCGTCGAGCTCGTAGTCCTCTGCTGAGACAGATTCGAGCTCAGCCAGTAAGTTGGAGGAGGCAGAGGAGTGGGGGGCGGGTGAAGGAAGCATGTGATGTGATGTGAGGACGCACTGGGGGGGGTCGTTGTCGTCGAGCTCGTAGTCCTCTGAGACGGATTCGAGCTCAGCCAGCAGGTTGGAGGAGGCAGATGACTGCGACACCAGCCCCTGCATCTTCCTGCCATGCCATCATGTGCCATGCATTCATGTATCATGCCATCACATGCCATGCACGCCATGATGTGGCGCGCCATAATGGTGGGGGAAAGGGAGAGGACGTGCAATGAGACGACGGGTTAGTCAGTCAAACTGGGGAGAGACACACTCACGAGACACAGGAGCACTCATTTGATGTACGGACATGCACTTTATCCAGAAGCACACCAGGTGCATAAGCCCGCCTACTCGAAGCAGCAGCACTGGCTGACTCGTTATAAGAGCACTCACTTGATGCTGGAGCGCACAGTGTTGATTCGCTCCATGCACTGCCGCAGCTCCTCCACTCGCTCCACCTGCTCCCGCATGTAGCTGGGCGTCACAGGACAGCAGAGGACGGAAGTGAGGGGGAAAGGGAGTGACGGACGGGGCAGAAGGAAGAGGAATGTGAGGCAGCATACAAGGAACGAAGGTTCTTTGCACAATGCACTGCCGCAGCTCCTCCAATCGCTCCACCTGCTTCCACATGTAGCCGGATGGCGGAGGTGAGAATGGGTGAGGGGAGAGGGGGATAGGGCGAAGGGAGACCGGCGGTTGGAAGAACAGGGAGAGCAGAGGACGGCAGAGAGCGGCACGGGACGACAGATCTCTCTCACTCTGCTCTCAAATGCCTCCACCCAGTACATGAAGCTCAATTTTCCATTTTGCTGCAGGTTGTTTTTGAGAATTCTCAAAAACACCCAGCACATGAAGCTCAAATTTCCATTTCCCACTCCCCCACCCCTCCCACCACACGAGCCCTTTCTCCCCCTACCAAAATCTCCCCTGCGCACCACATGAGGCTCTCCTGCTCCCCCGGCTGCAGGCGGAAGGCGGGGAACTGGGTGGCGGGGTGGCGCAGCTCGTTGAAGTAGAACGCCAGCCCGTGCAGCCGCGTCTCCTCGCACTTCATCCCCATCGCCGCCACGCGCTCCGCCAGCTTCTCTAGACTCTCCATCAGCTCTAGACCTAAGAGAGGAGGGGGTTGGGGGAAAATGGCCGGGGAGTGAGAGGGGGTGTAAACGGGGCCGTCACTCCGCGCAGCCGCGTCTCCTCGCACTTCATCCCCATCGCCACCACCCGCTCCGCCAGCTTCTCCAGACTCTCCATCAGCTCTAACCCTGGGGGGGGGGGGAGGGGAGGGAAGGAGGAAGGGGGGGGGGGGGGGGGGGGGGGGGAGGGGGAAGGGGGCAAGGGGAGGGGGAGTGGGAGGGTGTAAAAGGGGCGGCCATCCCGTGCAGCCGCGTCTCCTCGCAGTTCATCCCCGTGAAGGGGGGTGGTAGGGAGGGGAATGGGGGGAGGGGGAGGGGGAGGTGGGGGAAGTGAAAGGGGTCGCCGCCCGTTCCGCCAGCTTCTCCAGATTCTCTATCAGCTCCATCATGCTTCACATGACACCTCATGACTGAATGACATAGGGACATGAAACGTGGAACGACACAGCACCACACCACATGGAATGCAATCGTATCCACATCAAAAGCAGTCACATTCGCATAAAATGCAATCATACCCGCAACAGCCCGCCTAGACCGCACATACCATAGAGCGTCCAGAGGTGAATGGCACGTACCAGCGAGCGTCCAGAGGTGCACGGGATCGTGGTAGACGAAGAGAATGAGGGCCGTGTCCTGCCATGCGGAGAGGCGCGAGGAGGGAAGTGAGGGGCACGAGAGGGAACACGGGAAGAGCAGGGAAAAGAGGGCAAGGGAACGGGCAGAGCACGCGAAGAAAGGCGCATTAAAGCCAGCGACGCATGGCAGTTTCGAGGCATCTCGAAACGCGAAGCAGGGCATTTTCGACTAGAGACCTTCACACTAAACTCCAGCACGCGATGACTGGCGTAAAGCGCTCATTTGAAGCACGAGCGGCCTTAAGCGTACTCGACTAGGAGCTCACTTTAGGCGAATCATCACAGGCCCCACCTGGAGGCTGGTCATGAGCCGTTCGATCTCCACGGGACTCATCATGGACCACAATCGCAGCGCCTGCTGCATCACAGACGCCGCCTCGATCGACACGAACCCCGCCGTCGCCACGAACCGCTGCCCCGTCGTCCCCGCCTCATCCTGGCCTTTCCGCGCGGCATTTCTAGTGCCCTTGTGCGCGGTTAGAAATTTCCTGTTCCCGGACTTTCCGGAACCGAAGACGCGCGATGCGAGCTCGTGTATGGAGTCGGGAAGGGGAGCGCGGGGACATTGGTCTGGGACAGGGTTGGATGGGTGCCGTAGCAGAGGCTTCGGCATCTTCTAAAATAAATATTCCTGTCTACGTCAGACCAAGTCGGGCGCACGGTTTGTGCCTTACGGCGACAACACTACCGAACGACAACACCTGTATCTTTCATCGTGTCCCTATGAATACTTAACCGCAGCAACAGCAAAGGCTAGCTGCCCATCATAAGACCGAACAACAATGCCTACGGCTAGGCGCGTTCAGCAACTCCTAGTCTTCAGTGCCCTCAACTAAAAGGCATTGCCGGCTTGAGCTAAAGCTGACGGAAAACCTAACACACGGCAGGACAAGCCTGCTAGTCCCTAAAGTGTCCAAGACACCACTTATCGGCTGAAAATCCTAGACTAGTCACCCCACTGAAAAGAAGAGCACTCAACGAACTCGTAGTTCCCAGTGCCGTGCCTGCACAGGTAAGAAAGACGGAATAATATACAGTTGCAAGTACTGCACTGTGCAGAAAATAACAGTTGAGCAAGGCTTGCGCGAGCCGAGCCGAAAGTTTCAAAACGAACCAGCACGTCAGCCTCGATATACCCCGAGCACAAACCTCCTCAGGACCACGTCAGGCTCGGGGAGCAGCAAATTTGTCTGGTTGTTGGCATTTTTTGTTCGAGTTTGAGGTTTGTCACATGTGACATCTTCACGTGGTGGCTCCATCTTCACGGACACGTGGCAACTTCGGGCTTCGTTAGTGCGGAAATGGCAATAGTACTGTGCGTTTTTCTACTGGCAACCAGCTAAGGCTGAATTGCACAACCTTGAACGTTGAAAGGCCCAGAACAAAGCATTTGGGTAAAATAGCATTACAATGTGCATCTATCCAAACACGCAAGTGCAACCTTGATTGCACTTGCATCCGTATAAATATGCTGAAGCACGAAACAGAACACACTCCCTCAATCTTTGCAGTCGGTAATCCCCTCTTCAGCAATGCAGTATCTTGCCTCCGCCTCTGGCAGACAAGGTGAGCAAATAATCTTGCAAATTCTCTCCTCTTGCCTTCCCTTTCTCACGTAAAGCCTGAAATCAAGAAACCACACCAGGAGTCAGTGCAGTTACAGCATCGGCCAGGAAAACACCCTCGGATAGACAGGGTACCTTGTTGTGGATGAATGAGCCATAATGTTGCCTCCAATGGGCTTCACTTGAGGGCCAGCAAACATGTTGCCTTCGACAGAAGCCACCACTTGGTTGGTCACCACCACTGCACAAGAAAACTGGCAGTCACGAAGACATTCCAGTGAGTTCCAATGATGATGAAGGCTGACAGCAGGAGTAGGGCTGCAACAAGAGGCAAAAAAGTTACCTCATCTGCAAGCCGCTGCAGAGTTCTCAGGAATCGAGCTAGATGCATCTGCCGTGCTGCCAATTCTCCTCTGCCTGAGTAGTCCGTCCTGTAGAGGCCTGTGACGCTGTCAACTATTATCAGAGAAAATCTGCAGCAATGAAACACACAGCGTAAATGAACAGCACAACAACGCCCTACATAGCCGAAAATGAACAGCACCACAACCAAATCAATACGTCTAACAAATGCCACTTGCCTGCTCTCGGACATCATGGATGCTGCCTCAATGAGCAGCTGCGTCTGGTGATCTGTGTTGTGCGCTCGTGCATACGCTATATTGTCAAGTACTTCAGTAGTAATAAGTCCATATCGCGGAGCAATTTCTTCCAACCGCTCTGGTCTGAATGTCCCTTCCGTGTCAATCCAAAGTGCCCTGCCCTCGCCTCCGCCATCGGCCACTGGAAGCTGCAGGCGGAATCAGTTAAAGTGTTAGTAAAAGATTGGAGAGAACGACCGCACAAATCCCAACTGAGACGGAAAAAAATTACTCACTTGACAAGTGACAGCCAATGTGAGGCAAAGCTGTGTCTTTCCTGTGCGAAACTCGCCATAGATCTCCGTTATGGACCCTGTCTCCACACCACCTGAGAATAAAAGTGTCCATCGTTTAGAGCGTCACGTCTTGAACGGCTGGCATCACAGTAACCTAATCCATGTTTCAGGCATCAGCTGTATCCCACTGCATCAGTTAATTACCTTGCAGGATAGCATCGAGCTCCTTCGATCCTGTAGTTAAATGAATGACGTTGCTTCTCATTTGATGCACGTGAGTTGCACTCTGGAACCCCATCGGAACCAGCTTACTGGCTGCATAAGCAAAACAGATACGAAACTTTATCAGGAGGTACTGAACCGGAAGAAGCGTCATGGCAGAACGAGCGGAACTTGCCTGCCTCGTTCAGACGGTCGACTTTTGCCTCGCTGATGCCTTTAATCTTGAGGAGGTCTTTTCTACTCGTGAAAGCTACAGCTTCGACAGTGAACAATCCTCCTTCACGAAGCTTCTTCACATCCGTCGCAGAAATTCCGCATTGCTGCAGAAAAGAAAAGAACTCAAATGCGCATGGGGCTTCGAAATAACTAGTGCACTGCATATGATCCATCAACAGGCTCGCGGTTGACCTCTTATGTTACCTCTAGCTGCTCGATGGGCAAGGGACCGTGAATTGCTAGCTGCTCCATGCCCTCATTGATATCGTCGTGCTCCTGCTGCTCCATCAGAAGCCTTCTAAAGGGGTAAGAAGCAGTGCCTCAGTCGACCAAATCTTGGTTCCCCGTGGTTCTGAAACGGAAATGGGTGAATAAGAGGGCGCAAAGGCCAGCCCTACAATACCAATACTGACTTAGATGGCTGCAGTTTACTCTCCTGACGAAGAAATCCGAGATCTTGCCAAACGGAGACGGAAAATGCAGACGGAGTTTATGACAAGCTCGAGGGAAGCGCCAGTGAAGGAATCAAGGAAGTCCGCACTGAACTCTGAAGTAGATAACTCCCCAAGGTGGCAATTTCTAGGTTCATGTTTTTCGCCCCTTTTAGGTAAACCTTGCGAAGGAAAAGAGGGGCTGAGAGGGCCGAGGGAGGGGTAGCGGTGAAGCGCGCGCAGAGCGAAGCGCTGGGTCCCTCTGCGCACAGGATGCCATTCCGCCAATCAGCGCGACTGCGGAGTCTGGGGGACCCGCGGGAACCTGACGTCAAACTGACGCTTCGATTCGTTATTCGACTGCTGCTACACCTGTACTGCCTGGAAAGAATCATCTATAAATATCTGCGTTTTTGTGAGTTTTTCATGCTCGAATCATCTACTGCTGTTTCCCGAAATGCTATGGCTGAAATAAGTTACATAATCTTTTCATGTCTCTGACATTGGAGAGGAGTCTCTAGCTTACTGGAAAATCTATATCTGCTATATCAGCAAATTTTTAATACAAAACCGTTTTTAGCTAACTGTACTTGTGGCCCTTTTATTGATATTTGTGGGATGGAAACGCGTCCTCCCTCCATATTTTCCCTCCCTGCATTCTGCTTGCAGAGTTTCCCCTGTCAGTCAGATTCACTCGCCAGCCGAATTCGATTGAGCTCTCAAGGAGAAACGGCTACTAATGCTGACGCCTGGATTTCCTGTCTAATGCAGCAAGCATCTTCTTTCTTTGCGCTTATCTGTACAAAGCTCTTCAGACATGAAAATAGCTGCTCGATTATGTGTCGTTCTGTTATTCTCATTCTCTCTTCACTCGTCAAAGCACACGCTACCAGTGGTAGCCGAGGGTCCCTTGTCGAGCGGCTCGGACGAATCAGAGCCGTTAGAAGCGCCGCCGGAGATCCCGGAACTTGTAGAGATTCCGGAAATCCCGGACGATGTCCCGGAAAGTTCCGAAGCTGATTCTGGGAATGAGGAATCTGAGGCGGAGGCTGAGGAGGCTGCTGGATCGCACGTTAACGAGCTGCTGCGAATAGGGTTACCGACTAGCACGAGTACCATTGTGACGGATGCAGAGAACGCGGGAGACACTGAAGCAGCTGGGAGTGCAAAGGACCAGTAAGCAGGGAGGAGCATTGTTGAAGGAGGGAGGGTGGGGGACTTCTTCAAAGGAAGAGTGCGCAGGGAGTGTGGAGGGATAATAGGGAGGCAAGTGGCGAGAAATTCTCTTTCCATGATTCACACACCTACGAGTTTTGAGACGTTTCGAAAATCGAAGGAGGAGAGTGCATTGAGTGTGGAGGGATAATAGGGAGGCACGTGGCGAGAAATCCTCTTTTTTTAATCATATACGTCACCCAAACAATGTTACATGCCTGTAACGCCACGTGGCATCTTGACGTTTCAGCTATCATGGTCATACTCGAAGCGTTCACACTTCCTGACATTCCATCCACCCGCACTCCCCTTCCTCTCCCATGTTCTCCCCACTCCCCTCCCACACTTCACCATCGTGCTCCAGAATCCCTGCGTTCCTATTGGCTCTAGAGACTCGCAACCGCCAGCTGGCGCGTCACTGTGGCGCCACGCGTCTGTTCAGCGAGAAGCGCACCACAGCAGCAGCGGCAGCCGCAGCAGCTGCAGTGTCTGCTGCTGCTTTCAATGGCAACAAGGGTGGTGGTGGTGTTGGTGGCAACGGTTTGTTGCAATGGAAACCAGAGGCAGACCGGTACCTTCTGCTCTCGTGCCACAAGGGCAAGGTGAGGGGGGGAAGGAGAGAAGGGTGAGGAGGGAGGAGTTGAAGATGAGGAAGGGAAGGAGAGGATGTGGGGGAGGGAAGGAGAGGATGTGGGGGAGGGAAGGAGAGGAGGGTAGGGAAGGGAAGGAGAGGAGGGTAGGGAAGGGAAGGAGAGGAGGGTAGGGAAGGGAAGGAGAGGAGGGTAGGGAAGGAGAGGAGGGTAGGGAAGGGAAGGAGAGGAGGGTAGGGAAGGGAAGGAGAGGAGGGTAGGGAAGGGAAGGAGAGGAGGGTAGGGAAGGGAAGGAGAGGAGGGTAGGGAAGGGAAGGAGAGGAGGGTAGGGAAGGGAAAGAGAGGAGGGTAGGGAAGGGAAAGAGAGGAGGGTAGGGAAGGGAAAGAGATGATTGCGAGGAAGGGAAGGAAGGGAAGGAGAGGAAGGCGAGGCAGGAAAGGAGAGGAAGGTTAGATCACCCGCACGTTCGGCCGCACGTTCAGAGTCCATTGATTCCCGTCCGTCCCACCGCTACCAAACCACCACTTCTGCTCTTGTGACTCCTTTCTCACCCCCCCTCGCCTGGCAGTTGAGCGAGAGGCTGGTGTGTCTGCAGCACCACCTGCTGCTGGCTGGACTACTGAACCGCACTCTTCTGATCGGCCGCTTCCATGGCAAGGGCGTGCGGGGCGAGCACTCGTGGGAGCTGGCTGTTGATGTGGGGCACCTGCGGATGTGCTACGGAGAGGAGACCGTGCTGCTGGCGCATGAGTGGAGAGCAAGGCAGAGGGGGGAGGGGGGAGGAGGGGAGGGGGAGGAGGAGGGGAGGAGGAGGGTGCTGGTTGGTCGGGGCGATGCTGGTTTGGGGTTGAGAGAAGGGGAAGTGGGAGGGAGGGAGGGGTTGACGGAGGAGGTCGAGGAAGAGGAAGAGAGGCGAAGCGCAGGGGGTGTTGATGAAGAACGGAGGAGAGAGGGAGAAGCAGGGACGGTCCAATGGAGGCGGCTCCTCAAGGGGAAGAAAAGGAAGAACAAGGATAAGGAAACAAAAACGAAGCTGTCAGAAGACGAAGAGAATTCGTCAACGGAAGAGGGTTTCGACCCAGAAGAAACAGCACACCCCATACCAATCGACGCTCTGGTCCCCTGGTACAAAGACAAGTCTGTTCTCCCCAAGCGATTCCGAGCCCGCCCGGACCTCACCTTTCCGCGAACCGCCCTCTTTGCGAACCTCACTCGGCGGTCCCCTCTCCGGTCGTTCCTCTCGGTCTACACGGCGCCGGAGGTTCGCTCGGCACGGGTGCTCTTTGTGGGGGATTTGCTCTACGCGTTCTGGGAGGTCCCAGATGCTCCGAATCTGGTCAACTTTCCGGGCGACGCGCCGTTTGTTCGTTCGCCGGGCTGCCCGAACCCATACACGATCCTGCCCAACCGGAAGGTGCTGCGGCTCGCGAAGGAGATTCAGAAAACCTTTTTCTCGGGCAGCGACGGGGCGAAAATTCCGTTTCTTGCGGTGAATTATGAGAAGAGGGCAGGGTTGGAGGGTCAGCTTTGGTGTGACTTGGGGGGGGATGCAGATGCAGCAGCAGCAAGAGCAGCTGCAGCAGATAAGGAATCGAAGTCTAACATTGGGTTTGTGAAGAAAGGGAAAAGAAGAGGGTTGAGAAGCATAGAGGATAGTACGAATACCAATAGCAGCAGCAGCAGCAGCAGCAGTGGTGATGGTGGTGGTGATGGTAATGGGGGTTACATCAAAGGCGTTGGTAACCGTGCCTGCCAGCTGTCGGTTGCTGAGGTGGCAGGTTGCTTGTGGCGCAAGCTATCGGCCTCGGGCATTCGAAGGCTGTTTCTTGTCACCGACGCATCTGATCAAGAGGTGGGTCACTTGGTGCGTGATGGTGTGTGACTGTATGAGGTGGGTTGGTTGGTCCTAAAAGGCATGTGACTGCATGAGGTGGCAGGTTGCTTGTGGCGCAAACTGTCAGCCTCGGGCATTCGACGGCTCTTGCTTGTCACCGACGAATCGGATCAAGAGGTGGGATGGTTGCTTGGTGCTGGATGGTGCATGACTGTATAAGCTGGGTTGCTGCTTGGTGCGCTATCAGCATCTGGCATTCCATGCCTCTTTCTTGTCACGGACACATCTGATCAAGAGGTGGGTTGTTTCCAAACACGCGACATGGTCCAAGCGCGCGACTTGGTCCACGTGCGCGCCTTGGTCCACGCGCGCGCCTTGGTCCACGCGCGCGACTTGACCCACACGTGCGCGCCCCTTAGTCCACGCACGCGCGCGCCTTGGTCCACACGCGCGCGCCTTGGTCCACACGCGCGCGCCTTGGTCCGCGCGCGCGCGCCCTGGTCCGCGCGCACGCCCTGGTCCGCGCCCGCGCCGCGCGCGCGCGCCTTGGTCCGCGTGCGTGCGCCTTGGTCCGCGCGCGCGCCCTAGTCTGCGCGCGCGCTGGTCCACGCGCGCGCCTTGGTCCACGCGCGCGCCTTGGTCCACGCGCGCGCCTTGGTCCACGCGCGCGCCTTGTTCCACGCGCGCGCCTTGTTCCACGCGCGCGCCTTGGTCCACGCGCGCGCCTTGGTCCACGCGCGCGACTTGACCCACACGTGCGCGCCCCTTAGTCCACGCACGCGCGCGCCTTGGTCCACACGCGCGCGCCTTGATCCACACGCGCGCGCCTTGGTCCACACGCGCGCGCCTTGGTCCACACGCGCGCGCCTTGGTCCACACGCGCGCGCCTTGGTCCGCGCGCGCCCGCTTTAGTCCGCGCGCGCACGTGGTCCGTGCGCGCGCCTTAGTCCGCGCGCGCACGCCTTGGTCCGTGCGCGCGCCTTAGTCCGCGCGCGCGCGCTCTGGTCCGCGCGCACGCCCTGGTCCGCGCCCGCGCCGCGCGCGCGCGCCTTGGTCCGCGTGCGTGCGCCTTGGTCCGCGTGCGTGCACCTTGGTCCGCGCGCGCGCCCTAGTCCGCGCGCGCGCTGGTCCACGCGCGCGCCTTGGTCCACGCGCGCGCCTTGTTCCACGCGCGCGCCTTGGTCCACGCGCGCGCGCCTTAGTCCACGCGCGCGCGCGCGACTTGGTCCGCGCGCCCCCCTTGGTCCACGTGCGCACGCCTTGGTCCGCGCACGCGCCTTGGTCCGCGCGCGCACCTTAGTCCACGCGCGCGCGCCTTGGTCCACGCGAGCGCGCCTTGGTCCTTGCGCGCGCCTTTGAGTGCGCGCGCGCGTGGTGACTTCATTTCTAAGGGCGTGGTGACTTCATTTCTAAGGGCGTGGTGACTTCATTTCTAAGGGCGTGGTGACTTCATTTCTAAGGGCGTGGTGACTTCATTTCTAAGGGCGTGGTGACTTCATTTCTAAGGGCGTGGTGACTTCATTTCTAAGGGCGTGGTGACTTCATTTCTAAGGGCGTGGTGACTTCATTTCTAAGGGCGTGGTGACTTCACTTCTAAGGGCGTGGTGACTTCACTTCTAAGGGCGTGGTGACTGTATGAGGTGGGTTGGTGTTTCCGGTGTGGCAAGTGCCGTACAAGCTGTGGAGAAAGTGTGGTGCAAGCATTGGGGAACCGAAACAGCCAGCTCGTTCCATTCGTTGACTCCTCTTCATTTTTTCATCCACTTTGCTGCATCATCCCCGTTATTGGCAGGTCCGAGAGGCATGGTACAAGCTGTGGGAGATCAACGGCGACCCGGTCCGCTTCATCCTCCCAGGCTCTGCTTAGCCTGTCCGCTTTTTCGTCCCATGCATTTTGCCATCCCGTTCCCTGCATCACCCCCTATCCCCCTTATCCCCAGGTCCGGGAACCATGGTACAAGCTGTTGGAGATCAACGGCGATCCGGTCCACTTCATCCTCCCACGTATCGTCTCACCTCGATTGCCACATGGCCCCCTTGCCCCTATCCTCCTTATTGGCAGGTCCGGGAAGCATGGTACAAGCTGTGGGAGATCAACGGCGATCCGGTCCGCTTCATCTTCCTGCGCTCCTTCCACCAGCGCATCCTCAAGCGCTTTCCAGGAACCTTCCAGCAGGTGCTAGACCTGGTAACCATGGCGATCAGCGCTCAGGCCGACATGTTCCATGGCTCCTTCGGGTCTCTCTTCTCCCTTCAGACCATGCGCCTGCGCTATGCCTTCAGCACAGCTTCATGCAAAGACACCGCCCTGGGGGATGATTTCCTCTTGCCTGTTGATACCTCCGCTGATGTTGGCTGGCGGGTGCTCCTAGATCTCCAGGACAACGGCTTATAAGAGTGGGGAGGGGAGGGGGGGAGGCGAGGGGGAGGGGTGGGCCGGTTGGGCTGCAGGGGAGAAGAAGGCTCGTTTGGGTCGGTGTTCTCCCTGCAGACCATGCGCTGCGCTTTGCATTCAGCACGGCCACGTGTAGGGATGCTGCCCTGAAAGATGATTTCTTCTTGCCTGTTGATACCCCACTGTTGATGCTGGCTGAGGGGTGTTCCTAGATCTAGATGACAATGGGCTGTGAGGTTCGGTTTGGTTTCGGCTCTGCTGCAATAAAATACATCGAACGTATGATAGATTTCCCCATGCTGTCGATAACGATGCCCGCTGCGGAACATGCAACCTGGGGTGTGTGTTGATCTGCAGGCAAACGCCTAGTGAGGCAAACTGCACATGGTGAAAAAAAGGCTACAGAGGCTTACTTCAAGGTAACACCTCATCTGAACTCCACGGGAGCTATCTGCGGCATGTTGTTGAGCACTTTTTCACATTGTTTGTCGGCACGAGGCCGATTGCAACTCGTACAGCACATTACAAGCAGTAGGAATCAGGATGGCACAGGCCGGGACTCAGCGCCTCATGATGGCTCAGCCTCGTGTCTGTCAATCCTTGGGAGCGAATTCCTCAGGGAAGCGTTGTGCCAGGCCGAACATATCCAGAGTCCCTCCTGTGTGCAGCACTGTGATGCTGATTGTTGCATCGTCAGCAGCAGTATCACGAGAACGGGCATGGCCATCAGCAGCAGCGTTGCTGGTGATGCTGCTCCTCTCCCCATCCTCGCTGCTTCCTGCCACGTGCCCACTGCAAAGCCAATCCCCCAGTTTCGGAAGCATAGCCCCGGCAAGCTTTTCAGCATACTGATCCGAACGACCCTCATTGTTCGAGTGCTGCTTCTGCTCCTCCCCAGGCTGTCCCTGAGAACATTCAGAAGGCTTTCCAGCGTCCCCTCCATTGGCCAGCCCTTGCCCACGTGTCTCTCCTCCATTGGCTTGGCCTAGAGCCTGAGTGAGTGCAAGGGCATGTGGCAGAGCGTGTGCGACCTCCCAGGCAGCTAGTGTGTAGATAGGGTCAATAGGGACACCCGTTGCTCTCATGAACTCGCAGCACCGAGTGATCTCACCCGGAAGGACCTTGCCAAATCTGTAGGGGAGTGGGGGAGAAGTCGAGTTTTACGGCAACGTCACAAGGCAGCTAGTGTGTAGATGGGGTGGATGGGGATCCCTGTTGCCCGCATGAACTCACAACATAGAGAGATCTCCCTTAGAAGGACCTTGTCGAATCCGCCAGGGAAGAAACGGGGACGAGGATGTGGAAGGAAGGAAGGAAGAAGAAAGTGAGTGGCCGTGGTGGTGGGCACAGGCTTGTGCTAGCGAGGATGTGGATGGGGTTGTCTGTTGCCCGCATGAAGTCGCAGCACACAGGGATCTTGCCAGGAAGGACCTTGTCAAAGCTGCTGGGGACAGGCGAGGTTTGGGGAGGGGGAGAAAGTGAGGGAGCATGGTGGAGAGAGCAGGGTTTATGAGAGTGAGTGTGTGGATGGAATTTCTCCAATAAGGACGGACCTTGCCGAAGCTGCACGGGAGTGGGAGTGGGGGAGAAGCCACGTACCAAGCGTGCCAGAACAAGGCAGAGAGTGTGAGGATGGGGTCGATAGGGATGCCCGTTGACTGCATGAACTCACACCACCGAGGGATCTCCCCGGGAAGGATCTCGCCGGATTTTCTCAGGATGAGAGGAGGTGGGGGAGGAGGGAGGGCGAGGAGGACTTGAGGGTTGAGCAAGTGTGGGAGTGGAGGCAGACATTGGGATTCCTTAATGCACGTTGCATGCATGCAGCAAAGCAAAGAGGGATGGCTAACACTAGAAAGTAACTAATGAATTTGGAGGTGCGAGGAGTGCATAGGACGTACCGACGGGGCGTCTCCCGAGGCACCCAGACGAGGGGAAGGGCATGGCCACACACTGAAAGCTGCTGCTGTGCTCGCTCTACCTCCGCCGCAGTTTTTTCCTCTGCTGCCTCTACCTCCTCTGCCGCCCCTGCCGCCTCTGTTGTGGTTCTATCAAACTCCTCCTCCTGGCCTCGGTCGGTCACAGGGACCGGCGCTTCTGGCTGAGAGAGCAGCGAGGGGAGCTGGTCCGCAAAGCTTCTGAGCAGCTTCTCCTGCTGAGCAGTGTAGTAGTTGGTGGTGCCTGCGAGCATGACCCCCACAACAAGCCAGGGCAGGCTGGTTGGTGGGATATGATGGGGTGAGGAGGCAGTGCTGACATTTGAGTCGACTCAAAAGTCAGCTCAAGTATGACCCCCACAACAAGCCAGGGCAGACTGCTTGGTGGGATATGATGGGGTGAGGAGGCAGGGCGAAGGAGGAGAGGGGACCTGTTGGATCCAGGTCGAACCTGTTCTTCTTTGGGACAAGGCGAGGGCATGGAGAATGTAAAGCAGAGCTTGGAGGCAGTGGTGCCTGCACGCATGACCCCCTGCGCGAGCCATGGTAGGCTGGTTGTGGGATGATGGGTTGAGAAGGGTAAGGAGGAAAGGCACGGCAGAGGAGGCAGAGGAGGCAGGGTAGGGTGTGGGGGGGCGTAAGGCAGAGGAGGCAGTGGTGCCTGCAAGCATGGGCCCCTGCGCGAGCCATGGTAGGCTGGTTGTGGGATGATGGGTTGAATTGCAAGATACAGCCGGGGAGAGGAGCCAAGGAGAAGCTTCCTCTGCTGCTCTGCCCAGGAGAAGGTAAAGCAGAAATGCTAACAGATGCTCACACTCACTCAATCAGAGCGGAATGCTCACTCACTCAATCAGAGCGGAATGCTCACTCACTCAATCAGAGCGGAATGCTCACTCACTCAATCAGAGCGGAATGCTCACTCACTCAATCAGAGCGGAATGCTCACTCACTCAATCAGAGCGGAATGCTCACTCACTCAATCAGAGCGGAATGCTCACTCACTCAATCAGAGCGGAATGCTCACTCACTCAATCAGAGCGGAATGCTCACTCACTCAATCAGAGCGGAATGCTCACTCACTCAATCAGAGCGGAATGCTCACTCACTCAATCAGAGCGGAATGCTCACTCACTCAATCAGAGCGGAATGCTCACTCACTCAATCAGAGCGGAATGCTCACTCACTCAATCAGAGCGGAATGCTCACTCACTCAATCAGAGCGGAATGCTCACTCACTCAATCAGAGCGGAATGCTCACTCACTCAATCAGAGCGGAATGCTCACTCACTCAATCAGAGCGGAATGCTCACTCACTCAATCAGAGCGGAATGCTCACTCACTCAATCAGAGCGGAATGCTCACTCACTCAATCAGAGCGGAATGCTCACTCACTCAATCAGAGCGGAATGCTCACTCACTCAATCAGAGCGGAATGCTCACTCACTCAATCAGAGCGGAATGCTCACTCACTCAATCAGAGCGGAATGCTCACTCACTCAATCAGAGCGGAATGCTCACTCACTCAATCAGAGCGGAATGCTCACTCACTCAATCAGAGCGGAATGCTCACTCACTCAATCAGAGCGGAATGCTCACTCACTCAATCAGAGCGGAATGCTCACTCACTCAATCAGAGCGGAATGCTCACTCACTCAATCAGAGCGGAATGCTCACTCACTCAATCAGAGCGGAATGCTCACTCACTCAATCAGAGCGGAATGCTCACTCACTCAATCAGAGCGGAATGCTCACCCCAGCAGATGCACGGCAAGCGCACAGCCGACAGCAGTGGTGCCCGTGCCACTGTCCGCCACCACTGGCGCCCTCTCTCCTCGTTCCTCTCTTTCTCTCACACACACAAGACCAGCTCACTGTAACAAGTGCGCCTCACCCCAGCAGATGCACGGCAAGCGCACAGCCGACAGCAGTGGTGCCTGTGCCACTGTCTACCACCACCACTCGCCTCTGCTTCCCATGCTGCTTGCCTTGCCCCCGCTGCCCGTGCTGCCCATGTAGCTGCTCATGCTGCCCGTGCTGCCCATGTAGCTGCTCATGCTGCCCGTGCTGCCCATGTAGCTGCTCATGCTCGCGCTGCTCGTCTTGCTCTGCCAGCAGGCGCACCAGACGCAGCAGACCTGGAGAAAATGGGGGAGGACTAGAGCAGAGGGGACTGAGGGGTTGCAGGGAGGTGGGAAGACAGAAGGGGATGGGCAGTGGAGCGAGGTAGACAAGGAGCTGGGAAAACACTACTGACTAGGAATGCATGGCCAGGGTTGACTCACCCAGTAGGGCCAGTCCATCTGATCCGCCCTCAGGAATGATTGCCACACGTGGATGCCCCTCCACTGACTTATACACCCCTGCTGACGTGTCTCTCAATCCTGACGTGGCATCTTCAGCTGCTGACGTGGCTGCTCCAGCTGCTGACACACCAGACTTCATGGATGATGTGGTGGCAGGGCCAGCACCCCATTGGACCGTCCCCCCTTCCCCAGCCACCGCAGCTGCCCGAGAAAGAAGCGCCTTCTCCCGGTCCGCGTATTCTGCCCGGGAAACGTATCCCGGGCAGCCGAACATGTGCGAGACAAGGGCGTTCCCAGTAGGTACTTTGGGCAGCTCTCCCCTGAGCACGAGGTGGGCTTTAAGGCCCCTCTCTGCACATGCCACGGCTGGAGTCAAGGGGAGCAAGGGGAGAAGGGGACGAGGAGAATGGGTCCGGCCGTATAGCCATATGTACTGACGAACATCAAAATGCACCACATCGTAACACGGATTGTTCCGAGTAACTAGCACCAGATCGTAACACGGTTTGTTCCGAGTAACTAGCACCAGATTGTTCCGAGTTGCTTCACACTCAAGCAGCAATGTACAGCGCTAGAAGCAGCAGAGCATGGCTCACCCACAGCAGCAGTGTGAGCGCTCTGACTGCCCCCACATGTGACCTGGGGGGGTAATGGAGGCGATACGGGGAGGAGATGGGAGATGGGAGGGGGAGAGGGGGGGTGAATGGAACATCAGAGGAGGGTAATGGAAAGGAAGTGGAAGAGACTGGTAAACCGAGTTGGTGCACTGAAGTTTCCACTCTTATTGCACGGATCGTCTCCGGGGGTAACCCCGCCGACTTACCACATCAGTCGCCCCGGATCGGATAACGGGCGGCAGCAGCCCGTCCAGCTTGCGCAGCTTGTTGCCGCCCGCCAACGGATGGATGAGATCGTCCCGGATCACATCAACGGTACATATGAAGGGAGAGGGGGGAGCGCTGTTACCAGCACTAGCACCAGAACCAACAGCAGCCGCCGATCCTGCAGGTATACTATTAATAGAAAGCCCATGTGCTGGTGATCCATTTATAGAAAACTCATGTGCTTGTCCCAAGTGCTCCTCGCTTCCCCAAGGCATTCTATGGATCTTGGGCCAGGCATTGGCATTGTGAAGGGTTCGCCGCAGATGCACTTGGGTGCTGTGGGGAGCGGCTTTGGCGGTGGATAGCAGCCAATCGCGGGAGAGGAGGAGATGTGTCAGCCAATCAAGGGTCAGGGGTTTACGGGTGGAGATTTCAGGGGCTTGGGTTGAGGGCTGTGGGGTTGTTGATGAGGGGGAGGAGGAGGAGGAGGAGGAGGAGGAGGAGGAGGAGGAGGAGGAGGAGGAGGAGGAGGAGGAGGAGGAGGAGGAGGAGCAGGAGGAGGAGGAGGAGGAGGAGGAGGAGGAGGAGGAGGAGGAGGAGGAGGACGACGACGAAGAGGGAGAGGGAGAGAAGGAGCAGCCCCAGACCCTGTTGGGGCTGGAGGTGGGCAGGCGGTGATGCTTTGAGGCTGAGACGACAGGAGGGGAGGAGGGCCAAGGGGGAGAGAGTATGGAGGGGTGAAGCCCTTTGGCAAGAGGGAAGGTCCGGGGTGGGACGAGAGGTGGGGCGGAGGAGAGCGAGTGGGGGTGGAGGGGTGAAACGCGAAGGCTGTGGGCAAGCGAGAAGGATGGGGCGGAAAGGGCGGGAGGGGAGGGCGAGAACCAAGTGACACGAGGCGGCAGCATGGCTTGGGATGTTCTTTTAAGACTGGCGTTTGGGACGTCTAACCGGCCGTCGTTCTTGAAAGGCGGTGTGTTCCTCTTGATGTGATTGTCCTAGGAGCAACCAACTAAGGACTGGATAACCACGCCTTTTGAGGCGCCTCGGAAAGGCAAGTGTTGGGCTGGCGGTTCTGCTGACTGGTTGAGTCAACACTGTTGACACTTCCTCGCGGCGAAATGAAATGCGCTGCTGACGACAGCTCGCCTCGCGTCAGGATGAATGCGCATTTGGGAATGACGAGGAGGTGCAACTCCAATTCCAAATGCGCATTTGGCACGGAATTCGTGGAACATGCAATGCAACGTGTGAACCTCGTCGTCGCCAGCTGCACAGTTAGGCAGCATGTGTACAAATTTGGGCGGGCACTCGACGGTTTGAGCAGAATGGGCTATCGTCTCAAATCGTCTGTCTAGTGTTTGAACCTAAATGACGAGGAGAACTCTAACGTGCCTCAACCCGCCGACTGATACAGACGGCTGTTCTTTTTCTCTTTTGCGCCGAGTGAGTGATCAGCGCGCGCGCATCTCCCGCCAGTCTCCGAAGCAGTCCGACTGAGTCAGTCCCTCTGCGCACCCACCCACCTCCCGCGCACCGCTACAGCACTGCCCGGCCCATTCGTGGAGTGGGTCGCTTGGGTGAAGACTTGGCTCCGACTGGTAAAAGCACGTTCCGTGGAGCTCCTCTGCGCAGCCCCTCCACGCACCCTCTGCGCAGCCCCTCCGCGCACCCTCTGCGCACCGCTGCGGCATTGCCCGAGGGGAAGACTTTGGCTCTGAATGGGAGAGGCGCGTTCCGCACAGCTAGCGCCGCCTTGAAGTGACTCGTCCGCGCAGGCCGCCATGCCTCCGCGCGTGGCGGAGGCGCCGTCCGCACAGCAAGGTGCGCCGAGGGGCGGGGTGCGCGTGGTGTGCGGGGTATTGGGGGAAATTAGTCGCGCGGAGAGGGGTGGAGAGGGGCGGAGAGGGGCGGAGAGGGGCGGAGGGGGTGGGGGCGCACGAGTAGTTTGCTGAGGCGCCTCGAAAATGTTACACGTTCTTCCCCTCCTCCTCCTCCCCACCTCCTCCCCCTTCCCCCTCCCCCGCAGTGCACGCGCGTCTGGCGGACCTCTTACTGCTGGCGGCGCACGAGCCGTCAGCGGCGCTCACGGGCATGCAGCAGCGCGTGCACACCGCTGTTCCCACGCTCGTGGCGCTCAAGGTGGGGACTCGGGTGGGTGGGTAAGGTGGTTGCGGCGCGTGCATGGGAGTGTGCCTGCGCTCGCGGCTCTCAAGGTGAGGTAGAACATAGGTAGTGCTCCCATTGGGGGATCCCAGTGCTCGCGGCGCGTGCATGGGAGTGTGCCAGCGCAAGGGGGATCGCATTTCTCACACGCTGCCATGCAGCAGCGCATGTATGCAAGCTTACCTGGCCCCTCATGGCTCTCAAGGTAACCACTCTGCCCCTTCCCCCCATTCCCCCCCATCACCCCCCCATCCGCCCCCTCCCCCCCCATCACCCCCCATCCGCCTCCATCCCCCCACCGTCTTCCCCATCGCCCCCAACCAGGCCGACACGCTCACCTGCTCACGGGAGGCCGAGTTCGCCAGCGCTGACGTGGCGGACTGCCACGTCATCGCCCGCTGCATGACAGCTGGCGGCCCGGCGTCCCTGCAGCGCATGCTGGCGCGCCTGGCCGCCGCGAAGCCCCTCCTGCCGTCCCTGCGCGGCGCCAAGGACGTGCCGCCACGCCCCCTCCCCTCCGTGCGTACCGCCACGGACACACAAGGTGCCGCCAAAGGCACACCAGTGCCACAGCAGCAGCACGGAGCCCATGCTGCTGCTGCTGCTGCTGCCTGTGCTGGTAGCGCAGCATGCCTCCTGGATTCCTCCCAGCTGGAACCGCAACCCGGCAGGGCCAGGCTGGAAGTACAGGCAGGGTCAGGCCCACGCACTGCTGCTGACGCGGGTGCATGTTGCAACAAGCATAGTGCTGAGGGGGATGCCTCGCCACGTGCTGCTGGGGGAGAGGGTCAGGGAGAGGGAGAGGGTGTGAGAAGTGGCGGTGGTGATGGTGTACAGGCAGTTGGCAGTGAGAAGGATGCAGCTGGGGTGTCTGCTCCTGACGTGCCTCGCCAAGAGGGGGCAGGGCCGGCTGTCATGGGTGGTGGACGGCTGGTGGGGCTGGGCAGTGCAAGTGACCAGGCTGCTCGGGAACAGAGCGGCGAGCGAGTGTCGGGGAGCGGGGGTGGGGACCGGAGCAGAGAGGAGGTGGTGGATGGGGGGGAAGGGGGCGGGTTGAGGAAAGGGGAGGGGGAGGGAGGGGTGGCAGGAGAGGGAGGAGCAGGGGCAGAGGCTGAATGGGTGGCTAGAGGGAAAAGGGCTAATGCGGTGGGGAGGGGTGGAGCAGGAGGAGGAGCAGTGGAGGTGGTTGTTAGTGCATCTGCTTCTCTCACTGATGATGTGGCAGCTGTTGCTTCCAGTTCTGACGTGGCATCTATGGGTTCTGGTGCTGACGTGGCAGAAGCACGGGTGGCTGTGGCTGACAGGGCAGGTGTGAGGAGGGCACTGATGGGGCCAGCAGCACTGCTTGCTTTCATCAACGATGGAGCTGAGGACACTGCTGAAGATGCTAGTATCGGGGCAGCTACTACGGGGGATGCACAAACAAGGTGAGAGCAGCTGTGAGGAGGGCCGTAACAGGGCCAGCAGCACTGCTTGCTTTCATCAACGATGGAGCTAAGGACACTGCTGAAGAGACTAGTATCGGGGCAGCTACTATGGGGGATGCACAAAGCAGGTGAGAGCAAGCAGATGCTATCCACAAGTAAGCAACCAGATGGTCCGGTCAGAATTTTGGAGGGGGGGGCATCTTGTGCTTCTACTAGTGTAGTCTCCTCCCCACTTCATCTTCCACCTTTTGCGGCGCCTCGAACGTTCTGCTCCTCAAGTTACCGTCCTCCCCACCACTCCCATCTGTCATGCCATGTCCTCCCCCCTTACATCCCCCTTACATCCTCCCTTCTCTCCCCCTTCCCTGTCCCGCCACCCCCAGCATATCAAGCCGGTTGCTAAGGCTTATCTCCCCTCCCAGCCTGCTGTGGCAGTCTCAACAACCGCTGCGGAAAAAGGAGGGTGGATCTTCAGAGTTACCCCATGGTAACAAGATAGGAGAAGAGCAGAGGTTGAGATTGGAGGCGTGGCTCGATGATAAATAGCATTGTTCCACAGCGGACGGATGACAGTTGTACATAAGTGGGACGTTGAGGTTTCCAGGAACGTCGGGGTTCAAGAGAGTGTCAAAAGTTGGAACTTCGTGCATCCTTATGTTTGTATGGGTTGGGTTGGATTGGATGCTTTCATTTGGTTGTGATGAATTTGCAGTGTTCAACGAGATGCCGGTCATACTTGGCTACACGGTGAGGAAGAATGTGCGGGTTTGCATTTCCTCTCTCCCCATGCTTTCGCTCACGTAGAGCATTCCTCGTATGCTAACGTGTGGACCACATGTGGGAGAGTAGGACAAACACAAAGATAAAGAGAAGTGGTGTAGGAGAGTTGGACTATAACAAAGATAAACAGCATGAGAATCCCACAGGTGCAGGCGACGTCTTACTAAAGCTCCTAGTCGCCAACGTGCAATCGCGTACAGCGAGTGATTTGAGCTGGAACCTGAAGGGAATGATGAACTGTAGCAAGGGAAATGAAACATCAGTGAACAAAGTGCAAGCTGGGAGGCATCATGCGTACTGTACATGTACAGTGCTGAACTGTATGATGACCCATGCTGAAGTTCCCTCCCCAATTGGGTGTTGGGCAGGCTGTAAAGTTACAAAGGTGTCAATTTGTTTTTTCCTTGCCCGCTGACTCATTGCACTGCCTGCGTGTGTGAACGAATTATCGCAGGCATGCAATTTTACCCTGCAAGCGAGATAAATGAGTTGTCATCGTCGAGCGCGCTGGAGATTTCGCGACAGGATTGAAAAGTAATCACGGTCAAGAGAAACAATTACTTACGAATCCAAAGTTAAATATCGAATCGATGATCCCTTATTTATCGTTTTCCCTGAATGTTGGGCTGGTTCGATCTGGAGCCTCTGATTGGCTGCGGAGCTGATTCGTGCAATGAATAAGTCATGCTGCAAAACTTCCCGCCAAAAAAAGGGACTATAGGGGTCGGGCCAATCCTAGGCGATATCGGAAAACTATACTCAAGGTGGAATAGGGACTCTTTTAGCGAGAGCCTCTAACCCAGAACACTTGTAACGCTCCTCGCTACAGTACACGTCGCTTCAATCCTAATCAAATACATTAGTATCTTTGTTGATCGTTAGCGGGGACCCGCTCCGCTCATTTCTGCGCAACAGCCCTCCTCCCCCCAACAGCTGGTGCAAGTTGTGGAACATCTGCATCCTCCCCCCCCACCCCCCCAGCCACCCCCCCACCTCTTGTTGCCCAGTGCCCACATCCTGATTATGGCCATCATGCGATGCGTGCGAGTCCCTGACGCCAGAGCGGTGAGACAGGATGATGTAGTGCGGGATGCGTTTAAATACGTTGATATACGGTCGTGTGAGCAGACAAGGTAAGGCTACAGACCTGCCATCAGCAAATCAACTTGTGCATTTGGTCAGCAGAATTCGGTCTGCCAGCTGTGATTCCTTTCGCGTGACATTCAAGGGCATTCGAAGGAAAATCAGGACGAATTCCTTTCTGAACTCACCCAACCAAACCTGTCTCTAGCCCGAAATTAGCACGTTGAACTTCTAGAAGCTACGACCATGCCTACGGTGTCAACACATATACTGCTGCCGTCTTTCAACAACACCACTCCCAGATGTGCAATTTTTGGGGCATCCTCGCTCTCTCTCATGCCTACCATGTCCATGACCCCAATCCAGACCCCTTGAAGAAGCGATGTTTTCCCACGAAGCGCCTTATGACTCATCTACTACAACTTATTAAAGACGGAGTATTTTTCGTCGCTATCTCAGCCCGTACATACTAAGTCAGTATTTTGCGAACGAGTATCTCGAGTAGAGTCGAAATGGTCGTTCTTGGAGGCCGTTTGCCGGGGAGTTTTGGACGGCGCTCCGCCGATGTTCCCCGGCCCCCTTCCCCGTCGGTGTCGCTAACATCTTCCTTCCGCCCGCCCTTCAGACGCCCCCCGCCCCTCGACATTGTCACAAGCAGCGACTCAATAGAGCTCGATTCATTCCCATCACTCGTCGGTGCAGATAGCAGCGACGAGAGCACCGACGGGAGAAGCGGCGGCACGAGCGAGAGTTTCGCGAAGAGCGTTTCCAGCGTCGCATGCGACAGCGGCGGTCGCAGCCCCGTCTCTAGCGTTTTCTCCACTCGCGAATGGCAGCGGAATGACAACGCCAATCCGAAAAGTACCGTGGTGCTGGCGGGGAATCATTGGAGTCTTGCAGAAAGGGCGCGCGGAAGCGCCAATACCGCCGGGGCACCTTCCCTACTAGCAAAAACCGTTGGCGAGATTCCTACGCGGCCGAACTCGTCAGCCGGCGCGCGGCACAGCTCTCATCGCCGCGCCGACTCCGCCGCGGAAGCGGGTTCGGTAGTACGACCGGCGCGGCTGGCGGAAGAAACGGGCGGCGGCCTGCACGCGACCGACGGCGCGGGTGAAGCGCAAGCGATATAAAAAAATACGACCGACGCGGCTTCCCCCGACTTTAGCGTGAGCGCCGGCGCCGGACAGAGCGGGCGGCGCGGCGTCCCCCGGGCCGCGGACAGGTCAACCGACAGAGATCAAAACCCCGAGGACGCAACGCCGTCGTCCGCGCGCGAGCGTCCCCCTCCGTCCCCGCATCGACCGCCTCCGTCCCCGCTCCGGCCGCGCGGAGGCATCAATGGCGGCGGATTCGTCGCATTCGTTGGCGGAAGCTTCCGCGGCGCGGTCGAGCGATCGATGAGCGAAGACAAGCATTGCCCTGCGCCCGCCAATGCACGTCCGCGCAGCGGAGGCCGTGGAATGCGGAGCCTGAGCCGGGGGAGCAGCAGCAGCGCAATCCATCATGTCCGGCGGAACAGCACGGGCGCGCACGCCACCGGGTTTGACGGGGGACGACCGATGGTGCGCGCCAATAGCAGCACCTCCTCGGACAACCTGAGATCTCTGCAGTCGCCTGAAATCGCGGATCGCAGCCCTAGTTCCCCGTTTGAGGCGCTCGAAAAGGCGGAGCGCAGACCCTGCTCTTCATCGCCGCACGGCATTCGCGCAGCGGCCGAGGCGGCAACAGTGTCCGGATCGTTCTCATTTTATAGCGGTGGCAGCGGTAGTAGTAGCAGCGGCAAGCGCGGCGGCAGCAGTCCCTTGTGGTCTCTAAACAATAGCAGCGGCGGCGGCAACAGCAGCGGCGGCGGCGGCGGCGCGGGCGGGTGGGGCGTGGGGTCCATCTTTCGCTCGATGCACGCTCCCGTGTCGCCCATATTCCGCCCCAAATGCCCCTCCGTCAGCCCCTGGGATCATCCCACCACAAGCCCGGTAACGGCTCCATGTGCAAGCGCCACGCCGTCGAGCGACGCCGGATCTAATGGTGCAGGAGCAACGGCGAATAAGCCGCCAAAACATCACCTGTGGACGGCGAATATTCTCCCCGCTGCCCGGCCCCACCGCATCAAATCCCTAAACTCGTTTCCGTCGTCGACGGCGCTGAATCAAATGCCGCAAAGCGCATTCACGCCAATGCGCGTTCCGGCGTGTCCCTGCGTCCCCGAGCCGTCGCCTGGAGTGCCTCCGCTGCTGCGGCGCAGCCGAACCGAAGGAACGTGCGAGACAGAGTCACTCGATTACGCCATCACCCCTAATGATGATTCAGCAGCGTTGAATCTTGGTGGGGCCATGACACACGGTGCAGCGCCGCATGCGGCGCGCCAGGGCTCGAAAGAGCCGTTCCAGGACTCTGGGAGAGCAAGCAGAGCAGCATCGCAAGGGCCGTTCAAGAACTCTGGGAGACGCAGGACGCTGAGAGGTGATTCCTGCAGAAGCTTCTCGGAAGGGTGCATCCCCATTGTCCCGGACACTGTGGGAAGTCTGGTCACTACTAGATCCAAGGGGAGTGCGCCCCACTTTGTGCCTGCCTCAGAGCATCGGCTATTCTCCGGCCTTGACAATGACCCGCCTCGCTTCCACCGCTCCTCCATGTCCTTCTCGCAGCTGCCGCACCCTTCGACTCAAGGAGAGGTCGTGATGGAAATGCCGGTGCAGGCAGGACCTGCACGGGAACTTCCAGTGCACAAGCTTGAGAATGACAATGGCCCGCGTCCCTTCCACCGCTCCTCCATGTCCTTCTCCCAACTGCAGCACCTGTCGACGGAAATGTTGGTGCGATCGGAAACTGCAGAGGAGCTTCCAGTGCAGACGCTGTCAGCTCAGCAAGTGCGAACAGAGGAGCTGCCAACACAGCAGCTGACAACACAGCACCTGCCAACGCAGCAACTGCCAACGCAGCAACTGCCAACGCAGCAACTGCCGACACAGCAACTGCCAACGCAGCAACTGCCGACACAGCAACTGCCAACGCAGCAACTGCCGACACAGCAACTGCCAACGCAGCAACTGCCGACACAGCAACTGCCAACGCAGCAACTGCCAGTGCAAAAGGTGGCAGCAGCAGCTGAGGTTGCCGGGGCAGGAAAGGCGACGGTGCATGCATCAGCTGCTTCCAAATGTAACCTGCCCTCGCTGGCCTCGCCTGGCATTATGGAGACAGGCAGACAGGAGCTGAAACAGAATCAGGTGAACAATGGGTCAGCTTCGAAGCTGGATGGAAAGCAACATCAAGAGGATCTGATATATTTGCAGTCTCCCAGCCCCCCACGCATGCCGCGGCAAACACGTGGCAGACGCATGCGTCGTGTGGGTTCCGAGCCTGGCTTTTGGGTGGATCGTCGCGCAGAAGCAGACGAGGATCGGGGGAGGAGGAGTAGAGAGCAGGAGCTGGGAGCAGGAGTTTTTGAGGGCTCGGATATGATCGTTAGGTCGCCAGATAGTGGGTGGTGTAAGGTGGGTGGGCTGAATTCGTGGAGTCCGGAGCATAGGGAAGGGGATTTGCATAACAGTGGGAGCCATGGGCAGAGAGGAGGCATGAGCATAACAGCAGGGATGACAGGAAATCCAGTTGGAGGACGGCAGAGGCATGTGGGGATGAACAGCAGGAGCGTGCAATCGGAGCCAGTGCTTCATGCCCCCGAGGCAATGAGTGAAGCAGCAAAGCATGCGCCCTTATGTAATGGTATCTTGAGCTCCTCCTCTACTAACTGCTTTCCCTTCAAAGGCAGCGGGATTGAAGGGCAGCAAGTCGAGAACATGATGAGCCCAATTTTGACACGCGTGCAGGATCGCGGTGCTCACGGCGAGGAGATTCAATCCGTACAGCCTACCAGCTCCTCACTTTTTCTAGAAAGTGGTGTGTGCCAGAGCTGGCGCCCTGCAATGAATCACCCACTTTTTAGTGGTAGAGCAGTTGGTGCTGAAGATTATTTGTTCTCACCCTGATGTAGTAAGCACGGCCGTGCTGTTATTTTTCTTCTCATAGTGGAATCAAACGGAATTGGTCGTGATTGCTGCACGGTTAATCGATTCGACGTTGTTACGAATAGTAATTGATGAAACACTACTGTGCACTCCTGACAGCAGCAATCGAAGTATGCAGTACCGAGGCTGAATACAAAAGGGCGGAAGTAACGCGAAGGGTCAGACAGTTACGAAGCATCTGGACCGTCAAGGCAGACAGCATCAGGCAGCAGCAGTGGCGAGGATTCTGCCCGGGCAGTTTCGTAACCGTCTGGAGTCGCACGTGTCAGAGGTCCACTGGTGATCCCCGATTGATCCTAGGGAAGGGTTACAGGCATGTTGGCCTAAGGGGGTATGGGCGCACTCTGACCCGCTACTTAACAAGCCATTCTATCCCAATGGTCTAGTGGTTGGGATTCTGACATGGTATCAGAGCGAAGGTCTCGGGTTCGAATCCCAGTGTGTGCACTTCGGGCATCCCAGTACGGGGGGGTGTCAGAGGTCCACTGGTGATCCCCGATTGATCCTAGGGAAGGGTTACAGGCATGTTGGCCTGGGGGGTTATGGGCGCACTCTGACCCGCTACTTAACAAGCCCTTCTATCCCAATGGTCTAGTGGTTGGGATTCTGACAGCACGGTTGGTTTTCGCTGCAATAAGGGAATGTACCCCTTAGAGTACATGGCTAGCCTAGGTCGATTCGTATTCCCTTGTACTCTTATTTATATTCCCGTATTTGCATGTTCTTATCATCTCAATCATTTTACATCCACTCTGAATTGAGGACAATGGCCCACCACTACCAACCAAATGTGTGCGAACCTTCCTGAGGTGATCATATGGTCGATCAACATCTGATCGCAGCATGGTATGAGAGCGACGCGGGAATCCTTCGCACTGCCACCTCCGAAATCTTCGGCGAACGGAAAGTGGCGTCCGGCACACGCTCGCGTGTGAGAATGGCCGGAGGATCTGGTGGTTAGACGAATCTGACGGCTGAAGCGCAGCCCAATCCGGCTGCGACAAGCGAGGAAACGACGACGATTGAAACCGCCGCCCTCGCACAAATGCTTCAGCGACTCACCAGCCTGGAGCAACAACTTCAAACATTGCGGAATGGCGACGCGGGAACATCTTCCCAACCCACTCAAACGGCCTCGAACGGCCACAATACCGCCCCGCACACCTTCTCCCTCGACACAAATGGCTCAACGCCCAAGACTCCCCGTCCCAACGAAGAAGCAATTCTCTCTGCGCAATCAAGGTTTTTGAGCATATCAAACATAAAGACAAGTGTGTGTTTTGACGGCCGAGACTTCTATACGCGGAGCTTCGAGCTGGAGCTGCTGCTGCAAAACGCGCAGATATTCTACTATTTCGACGGAAGCTACTCGGGACCTGCTGAAGACACCGCTGACGCCCGGGCTCAGCACTACAACGAGTCACTGATGGCGTACGGCGTTCTGCTGCGGAATATGTTCGGAACCAACTGAGCATTCGATCGTACAAGACAACTCCTGCTCCAGCCCTCGACGCTTGGCGCCACCTGAACGGCGTGTACCAACCGAAAGATTCGGTTTCATCGAGCCGCCAACTCCAGGAGCTACTGGAGACAAAAATGGCCTTAGGGGAGAAGGCCAACAGCTACATTAATCGCTGCCGGAGCTTACGTGATCAAATCGCGAAATTGGGGAGCGGTATTTCCGAAGAAATCTTCGTAAATATCGTGCTTCAAGGGCTCGGCCCAGAGTGGCGGCCCTGCAAGGCGCTGCTCCGACAGCAGGGGGTCATCTCGGAGGCCGCCCTATGCGTCGCCCTTCTCGTCGAACAAAGGGTTATGGATCAGCAGCGACCAGCGCCACGACGAGACCGGGAACGCCTCGCCTTCTACGCCGATAACACAGAAGAGCGACGACCGCGACGCCTTTACTGCAAGATTTGCATAAACTTGGGGCACCTGGCAGATTGATGCAAGTTCCGATCTCGCCCTCGCCATACCAATCCGAGCAACTGGTCCGGTTGACAAGACGCACGCAACGACACGCGTCCAGCCCAGGGGCACCAACCCCCATCGCGCAACCTGAACCCAATGGTTCAGCATCATCAGCAGCAGCAACCGCCACAGACTGCCCCCGTCCGCAACGTCATAGGCAACATGACCATGACAAGCGGGTCGCGTCGTCCCCGCGTGCGCTCACCGTCACCCGAGCCAGCACGTCACCCAATCGGAGCATTCTCGAACAACAATCCGTTTAGCACGCGCCACGATTTCAGCAACGACGACAACCAAGACTGGAATCTTCCAGTCCCGCTGCTTGAAAGTCCCCCGCATGTACCCGATCAGCGGGCGGCTCCTATCGATTGGATCTCGCGCGAACAATTTCTCAAGTTTGACACACCGCACATCGTAACCCCGCGACTGGCGCTGCTCGCACGTAACGACAACAGGCGCTACAACACGTGGTACCTGGATAGCTGCTGTGGGCAGCATATGGTGGGCTCTGAGCATTACATATCTAACGCCATCCCCACTCCGGCCGTGACCTATGACACCGTGGCAAACAACACACGACTGCGTGCAAGTGCGCAAGGGATCGTGGTTCTCAAGGCTAGAGGGAGCAGGACGCACATCACGCTGAACGACGTGCTGATTGTGCAGAATTTGCGCTTCAATCTTCTCTCGGCGGCGCAACTCATGGACTGCGGAGTTAACCTCAGCACTGACCCCGAGACACGCGACATCCTACTCCATTACACCATGCCGAACAAGACGCGCAAGCAGATCGGGCGAGAGCACTCCGAAAATGGCGTCTACATCCTTGACTTCAGCATTCCCGACTGCAGCGGTGATTCGCAGGAGCTCATCGACCTCGTCCCCCTGCGCTTTGAACACATTCACCACCATGACTGGAAACACCCTGACGGAAGACCGTGGGTGCCGCACCACCCTCACCCGCGCGAGTTGGCGCTGCATGACCCCGACCCCAACGGCATCTGTAGAGATTTCCACACACTCTGAGCACAAGCAAATGGCCACAAGGCCAGTTCACATGGAGAGTTATACAAATGAGAACAAGAAGTACAGTGATCACAACCTAGCAAGTGTAAGCATGCAGGTGTATATATATATATCACAGTACAAGCAAAGTCACGCAGTGAGCAAGTGAGACGAAGTAGGCAGAAGGCTTAAAGCAGTACAGAAACGCTGATGATCACCGGACTGAAGTGCCTTGGTGAATATATCAGCAGTGTTGGCCCAAATAGCCACGTAAGCAAGACGAAGCTGACCATGCTGCTGCAACTCTTGAGCAACGAAGTAACGCAGAGCGATGTGCATGGTCCTGTGCTCCAGTCTGTGCTCCTGACACAAGGCAATCATGGCCTTGTTGTCTACGTACAAAACTGGAGGAGAACGAGGCCGCTCTCCCAAGTCGGTCAGCAGGTAGGTGAGCCAGCGTAACTCCTGTGCAGCCATGGCCCCTGCGTAGATCTCAGCCTCACAATTGGAACTGAGAACAGAAGTCGAGCGGGTAGACCGCCAAGAAACAGAGCCGGAGCCAAGGCTGAAAGTGTAACCCTGTGACGACCGCTGCGTAGCCAAGTCGTCAACCCAAGACGCGTCTGTGTGTCCAGTGAGGACAACTGGACCCCGTCCTCCAAGCGCGAGCCCCATGCTCGATGTACTGCACAAGTAGCGCAACACCCTCTTAGCGGCCTCCCAATGCTCTGGTCGGTGTCTCCCGTGCGCAACGTAGCGTGTCAGGATGCTAAGAGGGTAGGCAAGGTCAGTTCGATTGCAAGTCATCAGGTACAGAAGGCAGCCCTCAAGCCCTGGATACGGGCCACTCGGCTCTATGGACTCGTCCGAAGGTGGAGCTGAGAGCGAGTGACCGATAGGCAGAAGAGTGGACTGTGGCAAGGAGAACCGGAAGCCGAAGCGCTGAAGGACCTGGTGCACCATGTGTGACTGAGTCAGGGTGATGGTGCGCCGTGCTTTGTCCCGGGTGATCTGCAAGCCAAGATAGCTGCGCAGCTCACCCAAGTCAGTGCAGGTGTGTCTCTTATGTAGCTCTGACTTCACAAGGGCCAGTGCCTCAGTGTCAGCAGTGGCAAAAACCAAGTCGTCGACGTACACGAGGATGTAGAACGGCAGCAACGAAGTGCCGGTGCGCAGAAACAGCAACGGGTCAGCAGTCGAAGGAGCAAACCCAAGAGCCGCAAGTGTCGTCCTCAGTGTGTCGTGCGACTCACGAGGCCCCCTGGCGGAGACCATAGACTGGCCGCTGGAGGCTCCACTGGATACCTGCAGGAAACGACCCAGTGAAGCCAGGTGGGCGGCGCAGCCAGATCTCCTCGTGCAAGCTGCCATGTAAGAAAGTTGTGCTGAAGTCAAGAGAGTGAAGCTCGTAGTCACGCTGAACGGCAACGTGCAGCAGCACCCGAAGAGTGGTCATCTTCGGGGTAGGGGAGAAGGCCTGGAAGAAGTCAACTCCCTATCGCTGACTAAAGCCTCGTGCAACGTAACGAGCCTTGAAGACAGGCGGAGAACCCGGCGGCTGCTTCATCCTGAAAATCC